GACTCGTTACGATTTTAAAAGCCACTCTTTCGCTCCCGCGTGGCATACCCGCCATCAAGAGGATCTTCATTGCGCGCGAACAATCATGGGGGTGCTGCAGGCACCTGGGCTGGCTGGATCCAACCTCAAACTTCAGGGGGGTGAATGATCAAAAGGATCTCGAACAAGGAGCCGGGGCTTGGGGTGCGAGGTTGGAATATCTTTGGCGCCCCTGGTGTTTGGTTGGGTTTGGGGCGCCACCACACCACCATCCGCTGCCACGCCATCCTGCTCCACTTGTGCTTCAAGTCTTGTGAATACTGTACCATGCCTCCGACCTGGTCTGGCGGTTTGGTCTGGCGAAGGGCCAAGAAGAGGTTATCCCCAAACCCATAATCGGCTGGCCAATCAAGAAGAGGGTAGTCCGACCCTCGGATAATCTCCAAACCGCTTGGGTCCGGAGCTTCAGGCATGTTTCTTCAAGGACCCCTCGAACAAACCACACTACGTACAGTCACCCACCAACGGACAGTATCTTTGTTTGATCAATTGCAAGGGCCTCGTTGGAACATACAGTCCACCTACAAACAAAAACAGCAGTTAGTATTTTCGTAACATAAAACGTGTTATTCTCTTCACTAGGGGTTCAGGGTTTATTGTTTTAAATTCAGAACTCTTCATAAATGTGGTGCTTCATCTCTCTATATTGAATATCACAGCATTCTATTGAAGCTAAGCTCTACAAAGACCCTCATGCTATTACAAAGAAGGTGGCTCATACGTGTCACATTATAGTATGTATAGCGGGAGTTAGACCCCATGTAAGTACAAGTGTAGAATAATAAATAGTCTACACGAGGGTCCATATCAGAGCCTATTTTTGCAGAGTGATTTACCCGGCCTACTATTCAAATCCGGGTGGATTTTACGGCCGACCCGGCAAATGGCGAGTTGCCACGATTGTGACTTGGCCCACTGCAGAGTTCGATCATTTTTAAGGCTGCTGTGGCCGCATTCCTGAATTCTCCACTCGGCCACTCTGTGCAAGTACGGATTTTGCCCCTAGTGTGTCACTTATGTACTTCGCCAAAACTGCTAACATTTTGACTCAACATGCCTAAGTCTTTGTCTGCGAGTCGAAGAATGAATGGGTGAGCATGAAATTTGGCTAAGTCCTTGACTGATACTATGGAGATGCGATGAGCATGAAGTCTCGGCTAAGTCCTCGAAATGTGACTGCGCATTCAGTGTCTTCAAGAAAGAGTGATCAAACTTTCTACTCGGCCTGTACAATTGATGCTCACCCCATGCACGCGAATTTGCCTTGCGCCGGATGGATACGCTGCACCCGAGGTTGTTTCCCCAGCCTTATGCACCTACATTGGCGAAATCGCGCGCATCGGCGGAAATCGTGTTTGTCTCAAAAGAATCGACCCAAATTGCTCACACTTCGCCACGTGGGCGTTTTTCTCAATTGATTCGACCCCCTTTCCCCCGCCCCCTCAAACCCGTTTTTCCCGCCCTTCTCCTCCGAAATTCGGGCACCCGCTGGAATTTCGTGAAATCACAAAACGTCACGAATACATGTTTTTTCGTAACGCTAAGATTTCAACATGCGAGCGACATCTGATTGGACAGAACACCTATGACTTCTAATGATAACTTTAGCAGTAATAAGGATTTTATTAATTCTGTGCCATTGCAGTAATATTTTTTTTTCAAATCTTTGTAATATGAATAATTATTTTTGTTAATAATACCAAGCAGTAAATTCAAACAAAATATCTACCTGGTTCATATCAAGCAATAAAATTAAACAAAATATCTACCTGGTTCAAAAATAGTTTATTTTGATCTGCCATTGAGTGTTTTCTATTATACATTTATAAAAGTTAACTCTTCGTTCTTTATGTTTTCTGGAATAAGCTTTATGTAGTTATATAAAAAAACATACAAAAAACTGTAGGTTATTTGTGTTGTGTTTTCTTGCGCCCCTATCTACATTAATGGCATGGGCTAATGTAAAAAAAATATGATACAATCAACTTTCATATGAGCTTACTGAGATTGAGGAAGCAACCGCCGAAATTATCAATTGCCGAAAGCTGATGTGGCATGCCACAACTACATGGTGGATTTGGCATGAAGTTGGGAGCACGTATTCGTGACTGTTTGTGATTCCACAAAATATCAGCGGGTGCCCGAATTTCGGAGGGGAAGGGCGGGAAAAACGGGTTGAGGGGGCGGGGGAAAGGGGGTCGAATCAATTGAGAAAAACGCCCACGTGGCGAAGTGTGAGCAATTTGGGTCGATTCTTTTGAGACAAACGCGATTTCCGCCGATGCGCGCGATTTCGCCACCTACATTACAAGCGCGTCAAGCAGAAGAGACCGAAGTCAAGCAGAAGAGACTGAAGTCAAACTAGGTAACTAGGTAGCAGAGTCTTGTTTATAAGCACATGCGAATTCTTTTTAGCTAGCTGCGAATTGACGAAACTTATGCGAACTGCTCGTGACAGCTTATACGCCCCCTTCATAAGGCAACCGGGAGGGGCTCAAACAGGCATCAATTGTACCCGGATTTGGCAGCGAGCCACTCGGCCCAGTCGAGGGGCGCGCGGATTTCACTCTTTTCTGGAAGAGTGGCTTGAAACGAAAAATGAGCCCTGGTCCACATCCCCAGTGGTGTGTGCGACGCGCATTCCCATTTGTGGGATGGGGGAAAGCTGCCCAACTTCTGTACGGTATCCAGCTCAGCTTGTACACTTGTGACTGTGGCGGGCGACTCGTCATAATTCGCACCCGCTCAACTCACCACCATCACCATCGGGCCCGCATTTCGGCCCTGCTCGACAGGCTAACGCTCTGCAACAGGCGGTGTTGGGCTAGTGTTAGAGGAGGGCTCTGCGAAATTTCTCAGAGCTAATCGACCGCCCACCCCTACCGGAAGCTGCGCACCAAGAGATCGGAAGGAGAGGAGCCCATAAGGCGAAGCTGTCCGCCCCCTTCTGTCTGGGTCAACGCTGGCTTTGTAGAAAAAATTGGGCCGCTCGCCAAAGGGGTCTGGGTAACAACGCCGAAAAACAAAGGCATGGGTACTTGTGTTTGGGGTAGGGTTGAGGGGTAGCGAGACCTGGCCTCGATTAGTTTTTCAAATTGCGTATTTTTTCCAAGCGAACAGGTTCACTAGGTTTTTTTTCAGGGTCCAAGGAGTGGGTATCCCTACCACTTCAAACACTTGCCGAGCCCTTTGCAAAACCCCACTTTTGGGGGGCGAGGGTCAGTCTAGGCGAGGGCTAGACCTTTGCCCGAGTGAGAAGGACGCCAGAACTTTCTGAGTGGGCTAACGCTTCTTGAGTGGGATGCGTTCGACAGGCAAACACTAAATTACGCTTCTTGGGGTTCCAGAGCGCTAAAGCCCTGTGACACCAAATTACGGGCTGACCGTAGAAATTAATCAGAAATCGAAACAGCCGCGAGGATTCCGCGAGCGTTAGTGTTAGCCTATCGAGCAGGGCCTTCGTTCAAGCATCACTTCCGTCCCTCCCCGCATCTTTCGGCCAGTGCTTCACACAAAGTCCGTTAACACAATACGGTTTTCTCTGGTTCCTCGCGATTCAACACGGTTTCCGAGAGTACTTTGCTTGCAATGACCGTACTTTCCCCCTCCTCGGTTTGGGCTGGGGGAGGGCCAAGGAAGGAGGGAAGGGAGCGAGCGAACGACCGATCGGCTCGGCAGCACGACCTTCCTTAGGCGGAAGACTCACCTCAACGATCAAGGACACACACATCTGCGCGTGTCAAACCCGCCATCGCCAGGGCCGCGTGCTGTACAGTAACGATCTTCAGACAGATGAGATGAGATGAGACGAGAAGAAGGAATCGAACGGATGATGTAAGCTGGATCCTCAATGGATCTTTTGGTTTCTTTGGCGAGTCACGACTGGATTGGAATATATATTGGTTTCTTTTGGTTTCTTTGGTTTCTTTTGGTTTCTCCGATGCTCGGTATCTAGCATTTTTTCTTCGGTGCAGAGAAAGTAAATACGGTAATATGTAGGCCGACATTCTGACGATGAGAGGGAGGATGAGATTGTATTCCTACGTAGGGACACCATCCGAAGTTGGGACACCTGGTTGTTTTTTTTAATTTTTTTTTTGCTTTCGAATGAAAGTCTACGTCAGATGTTACCCCGTAGTTTGAAAGGCTGGAAAACATCGCATGCCCAATCTTGCGTCAGAAGTAGCTAGTCTCGATGTGTCGGGTGACGAGCGGAGTATGCGAGTCAGATGAACTCACTCAGCCGCACTTACTCAACTGACTGACACTTGAGACGAGCGGTGTACTGACATTGCTAAGAAATTCGTGTGTTTATTTTATAATTGCAACTTTCAGAGCATCGTTTGTAGGTCACGTTGAACTAGGAGAAATAGCCATGCAACACGGAAATTGTCCCAACTTCGCATGGTGTCCCTGCGTTGGAATACAATCTGAGTAGAGGGACTGAGGGAGCAGGCTGGGGGGTGTCACTGTTACAGTACGCACGAAGCCGTTGTGTTCGGTCGCTCAATGGCTCGCAGGCTCGCAATCTCATCGCACGATGTTTCGTTGGGTTGCTCGCATGGGGGAGGTCAAGAAGCAGCAACAAGTCAACATTATTATGGATATCCGCAGCAACCCGTTTCGTGATCATTACGACTTGGCTGTGTAAAAGTGCGAACTGCCGAACCATGGCGTAATTGAGCACTTTTTCAACCCGAAAAGCGATTAGCTAGGTTTCGCAGACGTGCAAAGAAGCATTGCATGATTCTAGAGCGACGAAGTTTTCCACTCCGAAATTACAACGTAGCAACGTTCCGCGTTAGACCCATCATCTTGACTTTATAACACCACCTCCTTATTTACTATTTCTTACTGACTCTTATAACATGATGTCTCGCTTGCCCCCGGCGCCTGCTCTCTCCGGAGCCAGTCGAGGCCATTCCATCCGCGCAGGAACCTACGAGGATGTTTCTCAGCACATGCCCGGAAATTACGCTGCTGTTCCTCCTGTAGCTTCCGCTAACCGCCCCCCTTTCGGGACCGATATCACTGACGGCAGCGGCGCACCTGGTGCGAGAGGCGGAGTGACGACGGGAGGCGGGGGCTTCAATTCCGCGGACTCGGCGCCGCTGAAACCGCTGGCGAATGTGAAGCTGCGGCTGGGGACTAATGAGGACGCGTCGCAGCTAATGCCGGAAATTTACCGCGTCGCCAGCGCTGCCAGGGGAGCGGAATCGGGCGCGCACGTGACAGCGGAAAATGCGGAGAGGAGCCTGAGGGTAAGAATAGTTTATGAGACGAGGGAGAGAAGCAGCATTGCAGAGCCTGAGTTGGTTCTTTCTTATTTTTATTATTTCATGGATTAATCTTGTTCGTTTTTCGTGGTATTCGTAGCCCCGAGCCATGCTCTACGATTCAACCATAGCAGAAACGCGAAAACGTTCCTTCCACAATGTATGCGAAGAACTCTGGTTACCCGTTACCACACCATTTTTTATGACGGGGTACGAGTCCGACTGAGCAGTTGCGTCTCCACCAGCGTAGCATTTGTTCCCCTCGCCATACTCTCCTCTCCCCTCTTCGTCATATATACAAACTATTCGTAATAAAATATGGTTTTGTTTTTTCCTCCCCTCTCTCCCTCTGGCTCTCGTCGCCCGCCTGGCAAGCAGGCACAACCGAAGTTCGGTGGCAGCGCACGCCTCGACCAACCACCGCTACTAAACCCCGCCGCGGATCGCGCTCTTACGCGCTATGCCAGCGTGGGAGCCGCCGCAATAGGCGCCGTGAACGCAGCGGCATCCACAACCACGGGTTCGCTCTACCCGAATTTTGGAGCCGACTCGCGAGGCGCCCCGGAAATCGGAGGGTCGCGCGGCGGAGTCTGCCAGCGCGCCGAGTCCGAGTTGCCGCAGTTGCAAGCACGAGGCGCTTATGAATCCTCGCAGAAAATGTTTTCGACGCGAGGTTCTAGAATTCCGTCAGCGGGAACTGGGAGTGAAATCGCGAGCGAGCTCGAATCGGTGTCGAATGGTTTTAGTTTCCACACTGTCACCTCGGACGCGGGCGACTCGGCACAAAATCCGTGGATGAGCCCCGCTGTGAATTTCGGGGGAGGCCTGGGGAACGAGTTGCGGAGGGAATGCGCGGATGCGGGGGGGTTGGAAAGCTGGGAAACGATAAACAGCAACCGCGCGGGTTGCGCGGACACGTGGGATTGGGGGCGGGGAAAAGAGAGCAGCGCAGGGGATGGGGAGGGTAGGTGGGGGGAAGGGGGGAAGGGTATGGGGGAGGGGAAGGGGCAGTGTCGAATGTTCAGCTTGGAGCAGATTGTACGCGCGACAGACAATTTCAGTAACGCAAATCTGCTGGGGCGAGGCGCATTTGGACAGGTAATGCGGGGGGAGAACTCAGGGTGCTCTCAGGGTAATTGTCTGGGAATTTTGGATTGATTGGTGAATTTATTGTCATATTGCTACACAGTCGAAGAGTTTTTAACCAATAGTTTTCATCCTTTTTTAATCCAACCCCATTACAGAGCCTTCAACATTTCCTTCTATTTAAACCCTCATTTCCACTCCTTCCAGGTTTACAAGGGCCGGGTGCTGGGCTGCAACATGGCCATCAAGCGCCTGCAGGGTGGCGGGTGGCAGGGCCCTAATGAATACAGCATGGAGGTGGAGGTGCTGAGTCGCATGCGCCACCCACACATCGTACCCCTCATGGGCCACTGCCCCGACCCCAATGCCATGTGCATTCTCTACGAGTACCTTCCGGGCGGCAGCCTGCAGGAATATTTGGCTGCTAGTGCGAGGAGTGGGAGTGTTGCTGGGGGAGTGGGGTTGGGTGATGGCAGCAGAAGTTCTGCAGTATTTCTTGGAACTGGCTCTGGTTTGTCATCTGGCTCGGTTGCAAGTTCGGTGGCAGGTTTGGTAGCTGCTGGTCCAATGAATCAGGTTCTTCGCCAGCCCTTGGCATGGTACGACAGGGTGCGAATACTTTCTGAAGTTTCTGGCGCGCTTCTGTACCTCCACCAGCATTCTCCTCCCATTGCCCACCGAGATTTGAAACCCGACAACGTGTTACTCGATGGAAACCGCATGAGCAAGCTGGGAGACGTAGGCCTGGCAAGGCTCATCGCGGAGGACGATTACAACGTAACCGCACGCGTGCAAGGCACGGTAGGCTACATAGACCCTGAGGAGGTGGCAACATGTGAAATCTCAGTGTTATCCGATATTTACGCGTTTGGGCTAATTGTGCTCCAGCTGCTAATGGGGGAGCCTCAGGTGAAGCAGGTTCATCGCCTGCTAACGGACACTGCAGCAAAAGTAGATGCAGAGAAGCGTAGAGCTGGGAGAGTGGGAGGGGTGTGCTCAGAGCCATGGTCTGCTGCTGTGGATGCTGTCTTGGCACGGCTGGATAAGTCTGGCGGGGAGTGGCGTGCTGACGTGGCGCGCCAGCTGGCGGTGATTGGTGTGCGGTGCGCTGACAGAGCAAGGGCGAGGAGGCCTGCCTTGGAAAGAGAGGTGCAGCCTGTGTTGATGAGGCTAGAGGAGGAAGTGAGAAGGGAAGGGGAGAAGGGCAGGACGGATGTGGACAACCAGCTGCTGTGCCCCATTTCGCAGGTATGTTACAACGCTGTTTTAGATGTATCGCAAGCCATTCTTGCATATTCTACTCCTATTTTGGTACTCATGTGCTCGTTTTCTCCCCAATTTTGCAGAAGCGCATGACAGACCCTGTGGTGGCAGCTGATGGCTTCACATATGAACGTTACATGATAGAGCAGTGGCTGGAGCGCAACAACACATCACCGATAACAGGGCAGCCCTTCCCTCATAGGCTCCTCACTCCCAACAACACACTACGGATGTTGCTTGCATCTCAGTGAGGAGACTTCGCATATAGTGTATATGGCCTGTGTTTAGGGTCCTATTGTAGTGGTGTATGTGTATTTATCCGCAAAAGCGGTGGTTTGGTTTGGATTATTAGCATATTAGTTACATGTTTAGAAAATGTTCTTCAAATCCCCGATTGTACTGCAAATGCACAAGGCTCAATGATGGATACTATGTTTGCCTTTCACCCTGCCAGCTCAAGGCACGTCAGCATAGTCGCTGTCATCGTTCACTCTGGCATCCATCTGATTGGATACCACTGACACATCCATAGGGTAACAAAACGCCGCAAAGCCCTTTTCCATTTCACCTTTCCTTCGCCGATCGAAACTCTCCGCCATGAAGCTCTCCGCTTCCCTCCTGCTCCTCGTCCTCGTTTGTACTCGCTCACTCTCTCCTTATCCAACTGAAGACTTTTCTACTGTATTTGCCTCTCCGTTTTGGAAGGCTACACGCGATGCTCTTCAGGAAGGTGAGTTTGACCAATCTTTGTCTAAAGAGGTCTCTAGTTGCTGGTTTTCAGGAAGTTTTTGCTACGTGGATCTTGCTCCCAGGTTTACGGATCAGGTAAGTGCTCTGCTGGTGGTTGTTGGGTTTGACCAAGCGGTTGGTTCCGTAATTTCAGGCAGGTTCTCCTGCTGGTTCTCCTTCCTCGCCCCTCCTGACTCCAAGGCTTCCCTCAACTTTCGGAGCCTTCCTCCCTCTGTGCTGTTCCGCCAACTTTGCTGGACTACCCTGTGCTGCTTGCTTTCATGCAAGCCTTCTACGTCACCCCTGACCTGGTTCCCTCGTCAGGTTTCCCTGTGCTGGTGTAAGCTTCGAGCCTTCCTTGCTGGTTGTCTCGCGGGCCGCTCCTCATTCCGACATGCCTGCGTTTACGCCTCGTCTTGCCGATCTGGCAGACGATCACATCCGACGGGTTGCTTAGGCCATTGCCGAAGCGCCCAGCTCTCTCTCCCTACCAAGCTTTCCCTCCTCGTGCGCTTCGGCTGCGTGCCGAATCGCCGTACCTTTACTCCTATCGATGGCTTGGCCCCGCTGTTGGAATGGCGGTGGTATTTACGTCCCCCGCCTCTGATTCCTCACCCATCCTTCGTCACCATGGACTCCCACCATAACCCTGACGCCGTCATGACCGACGAGCAGCTTGCTGCTGGGGACGATACGCTCACCGATCTCGGTGACTATGTCCTCGAAGATCTTCCCGATGGCGTCCCGCCGGAACTTAACGAGGAGCCTGCTGCTAAGAAGCAGTGTGGCGAAGGAACCTCCGCTGGCGCTGAGGCTAATGCGTCTACTGCCACGACGCCGGCGCCGCAACCGATGCAGCGCTCCAACTCCTCTGGCAGCTCTGCGGCCACGGCCCCCTCAGCATCCCGTTCGTCGGTTCCGCCCCGGCCGAGGTCCGCCCCGCCCTCTCGCCCCCAGCCTCCTGTCCAGGAGGCCGCGGTGGAGCAGCCTTCCGCTGGACCTGCTGCCAATCTTTCCCTGTCGGTGCGTTACCGCAACCTCCGCCGTCACCGCTCTTCTGTGGGTACCGAGCTCCGGTCCCTGCGGCGTAACCCGCTATCGCTGGTTACCGTGATGTTCCCGGAGTGCTCTGAGGAGGTTCGGGAAAGTATTCTCTCCCGGATTGCCGCTGCGCTCCCTGGATCGGCAGCCTTCAACGGTGCTGTTCCGCAGTTTGACGCGGCCGCGGGTGAGCCGCTGCGCCTGCCGCGCAGGACGTACCATCGTCACATCTACTCCTGGACCTCCGCTGCCGACGCACGCATCTTCCGCGGGCTGTTCGCGACGCCTTTCCTCACGCGGTTCAACAATAGCCGCCCGATCGAAGTCAAGATCTATGTTGACCCCTACCCGGAATTTTCGGCCGCGAAAGCTCGCGGCGACACGTACGCGGTGGTGCGGAACGTGCCGCTTGGTGTCCAGCCTGAGGACCTGCGTGAGACCCTGCTCCGCGGCAAAACCGAGGACGATCTCCCCTGGCTCGCGGATCTTCTGCATTTCCACCGGCTCAAGGATCCCTACGACGACTCGGCCTATTCTCAGATGCTCGGCCTCCCCGTCGCGGCAGAAGGCGACTCTGCCTTCGAGCTCATTTCGGCGGTGCTCTGGATCCCGGACCAGGAAGAACCTGCCTTCCTTAACCTTTCGTGCCACTCCTGCTCCCTGTGCTCAAGCAATCATCGGCTTGAGGATCACGCTTGCTTCGCCATCACCTATGTCTGCGCTGCAGGCGGTTAACGGTACTTACCCCCCCCCCGGCCTTAACCTGGTTGGTGCTACCCGGCCTTTCTTGTTCATTGGCCCTGTTCCTCCTTATATCTTCCCTTATCCTCCTTTACTGGCTCCGTTTTTCCTTCGGCTCTGGTCTGGTTACCCCCCTCCCCCCGCTTCCCCTTCTTGCCCTCCCTACGCCTCACCCCCCCCTCTCCTCAGGCAAGCTCCTTGGTCAGCACGCTTCCACGGCGGCGTTCAAAAAGGACCCTGGCCTGCTCCTCATCGGCATGGACCTCGACGTGGAGGTGTGGGCCTGCTCGATCTGCGACTTTGTCTGCGGCATTGCGCTCGACAGCGCGATGTTTCACCTCACCTCCGAGCAGCATCGCAATAGGCTGCAGGACCCTGCGCACCAGAACGTTTCCAAGGACAAATACGGGGCCTGGAAGGCCGAGACCCTGGTGCAGCATCACCGCATCAAGGCTCTCTTGCAGTAGGCCTGCTTCTAGGCTGCTGCCGCACAGCACCGCCCTGGCGCAGTTTAGGCGCTGTGTTTGTGTCTGGATTAGGCACTCTACCTTTTACCATTGTTCCCTGCTGTACCCCCCATAAAGGAGAGTTGCCTCTGGATTTCCTCTACCGTCCTTCCGCCCCCTGCCTACCCCGTGGATGCACATGCTCACGCATGTGGGGGTTTACAATAGTTATCCAATGTTAATCCCCCTCACAATCAGATGCATTCACGTGAATGGGATTAATTAACAAAAGAAAATCAATGACCTTAGAGGATGGCATAATAAGCGTGATCCCAAAGCAGATATTCTCATCCTGGTTGATACCCGGCTTACCCTGAACTTTCACCGGCTTATCCTTACGCTCAAACCTTCCTCTTACGCGTATTGTCCTCCCCCCTATCTCAACCGCTCCAAACCAGGAGGAATCGCAGTGCTCATATTTCACAGTCAGATTTCCATCTCCTCCCAGGAACCTTCCCTGGACGGTAGAATACTCTCCTTGCATATCAATTTCCTTGGCGAGCAGCTTCGCCTGATCGCTGTCTATGCCCCTTCCACACCTTCCCTCAGACGGCCCTGGTGGCGCACGCTTTTCTCCGCCGCGCTCGACTCCCCAACCTCCTCTGCTGGAACTATCGTAGCAGGCGATTTCAATGCGGTATGTTCGGCTGAGGACCGCAACAGGCCGCCGCTAGCCCACGAAACCTCCGAAGGCGTAATCCTTTCCGCTGCCTTACAGCGACATGCACTGGCTGACTCCTTTCGTTTATCCTACCCCAACGAGCCTATGTTCTCGTTCTTCGCCATTCCTCGGACCCTCCCACGGGACCCCCCCCCCACAGCTTCCCGCCTGGACCGGATCTATGTCCCGTCTTCTCTCACCTCCAGAGTTCTTGACGCGCAGTATGCCTCCGCTTCCAAGGAACTCACAGATCACGACTTAGCTCCCTCCTGCTTTATCCGCTGCGAGGCGCCCAATCTAGCCCATAGGCCATGGCGGCTCCCCCACGCCCTTCTCCAACGCCCACACACCGCCCAGATCGTGTCCACGGCGTGCCTGGACCTCCCTCCCGCTATTCACGGAGCAGCCTGGGATGCTTGGAAGCTCTCTCTGTGCAATAAACTCAAAGCCTTTGGCCGGCAAGAAAGAATTCGAACCAAGAAGACCTCTGAGCACTTACAGAATCTGGTCAGTCACCTCAGGATAGCCCTCGCGGTCAACCCCACTGACTCCGACACCGCCGAACAGTTACGAGTGGTATCCCAGCAATTCGAACGTTACGAAGCCTCGCGTGCTGCTGATATAGCGCTCAAAGCCAAACTTAAAGTAGAAGGGCCCCGCGAGATGGGGATCTCCTCCCTGCTGGTGGGCATCAACTCTCGCATTAACGCCTCCCTAGTCACTTCCCTCCAATCCCCGACAGGCGAGCTTGTCTCTGAACTCCCTGCAATGTGCGAGCTCTGCACTGCGTATTTCCGCAACCTCTACAGCACCTCGCATCCTGTGCGGCCAGATGATAAATTCTGGACTCACCTTCCCCCCTCACTCATTCCCCCCAACATCACTCACCGCCTCTCTCAACCCTTCTCCATGGCGGAAATCACAGCAGCAATCAAGAAACGTCCGCGAGGCAAGACTCCAGGGCCGGACGGCTTACCGGGCGAGTTATATCGTTCCTTCCATACTAAATTCTCCCCCGCCATTCACTCCTCGCCTACCGCCCTCCCCCCCTCCATGCTACAAGGCCGAACAGTGCTCATCCCTAAAAAGGGCGACGCCACCGTCCTTGACAATCTCTGCCCTATTACCTTAATGAATTCCGATTATAAGATACTCGCTATATGCCTCGCCGCCCGACTTCAACCTTTGCTTCCCTCTCTCATTCACCACTCCCAGGCGGCATTCATTAAGTCCAGGAAAATTGGAGATACCCTCAACGACACTCTGGACATCTTCGATTGGGCCACCACGCAAAACACCCCCCTCCTGGCCCTCAAGGTCGACATACGCAAAGCCTACGATCTAGTGGACCGTGAGTTCATGCTCTCCTGCCTCGCATTTCTCGGCCTTCCCCCCCCCTTCATCCAATGGGTGCGGCTTATGCACACAGGGACCACTACTTGGATATCAGTCAACAACCTCTGCGGACCAGCCATCCCTGTCCGCTCCGGCGTCCGCCAGGGGTGTCCCCTCGCCCCCCTCCTTTTCCTAGGTGTTATCGAAATTTTCCACCGCTACTCCTCCCACTTCCTCCCCGGTTTCCCCATTTCCCGCACGCAGCATCGCCTCATGGCATGTTATGCCGATGACGTGACTATCTTTCTCAACTCTGACCAGGAGCTTCAAACGGCATCTCACATCCTCCTCTCCTTCGCTGCTGTGTCAGGTGAACACCCAAACAGGGCCAAATGCGCTATACTCCCTTTCAACATCCCCCCCGCTTCAGTTACCTATGCCGGCTCCATACCCATTCGGGGCGAGGCTGATTTCGAGCGCATTTTGGGGATCCATGTGGGCCTTTCTGGCCGATCCGAGGTCACCTGGGAAAGAGCACAGACGCAGATCAGTCGCTCGGCCAGCTTCCTCGCCAACCTTCACGCTTCCTCCACCTGCCGGAAGAATCTCTCCAACATCTTCCTCAACTCCACCCTCTCCTTCCCCGGCAGATTCCAACCGCCCCCCGACCCCTCTATCCATGCCATCGACGCGGTTCCAGCCGACATGAACGCCCCCCCCCACCACGCTTACGAAGTTGAAGCCGTCCTCTCTGAAACCTCCTTCCAAGCGTATGCCCGCCGTGTTGACTCGGTCGGACGAATCTCGAAGGACGTCGAGGCACGTTGCCTCCTATCCTGTCGAGACTTTGTGCAGGTCTACGTCGTCGACCGGTGGCTGGGAGGGACCTTCTGCTCGGGCGCAGGGCTAGCGGCGCGGTTCGAAATTTTGCAGGATGACGCCCCCTCGCTAGCAGCCATCAGGAATTTAGCTTACACACAGCAGCCGCTTCCACATGCCCAACGATGGATCAACATTCTTCCGGATCCAGGACCCTGCCTCATTCCAACTCTCACCCACGCCTTCCTAACGGAGCAGCCGTCCTCTCAACGCGACGTGCTGTTCAGGCTCTACTCACGGGCTTTGCCCTCAGGATCTCGATTTCTCTACGCAGCCGACAAGGGAATTTGCGGCGGATGTAATAGAGGAGTGGTCGAAGATCTGCCTCACCTATTTTTCGAATGCGGCGTGGCCCAACCTATCACCGAAGCGCTTCAACGCTCCGCGCGCTCACATCTGGGGATCTCCACCTCTGCAGCCTTGACCCTGTTCCCTCTCGCTTCAGCGGCTGGACAGGCCATCGCGGAAAAGGAAAATTGCGATTTTGGGGGTCCGAAGGTTTTTATGCGAAAAGATTGCGGTTTTCTTGCGCGAAGTGTCCAAAAAACGACGACCCCAAATCGCAACTTTCCGTACATCGTTGGCGTACCTGAACACTGGCGCCAAAAAGTCAATCGAAAGTGACTTCAACGTCGGGCATAGGGTTTCGCACGGTCGAAAGCGATAACTAGCGGTTAGGAAAAGTTACATCAATTGTCGGGTGTAACAACCAGATTCGCGAAAAGCGTACATTAAGACGAAATTTAACGAGGTTGCAAACCTGGATACCAAGCTTTCGGAAACCAGGTACTCAGAGCCAGAACCACCCAACCCGAAACAAACTCGCTTGCTGATTCCTTCGGGAGTGTGACGTGTCATTCTGGGAAATATTTAACAACCAATCATGGTTGTTGCTGTCATTTCTCAACCTATCTACACCGTCCAGTCTGTACACGTCAGCAGATCCAATCAAACCAGAAAACGTCAACCCAATATGCACAACCCAACCCAGTGTTTCCTAGATGACATATCTCCCCCAACAAACCCCACACCTCCATCCCTCTCGTACAAATGGCAACACGCAACCACACATTCCACTCTCATTTTCCTTTGAAGTTCCTTAGACGAGCAACTTAGATCTGTCCAGCGAGGACTTCAATGTCCTTATTTTACTGATTCGCAACCGACATGTTTCCAAGTGATCTCTCGTGTTGCTTTCACTTTTCCGTCCGCTTGGCGTTTTTCTAGTCTGATTTATTCCCACTATTAATCTCCTTTTCCCTCCCCATCCCTCTCCCACACACCCGCTCTCATTCCACATTGCAGCTCATCGAGCTGTTTTCTGGCTGCGGTAGACATTCGCGCAGATAGCGTCGCTTATTCTGGATTTCCCCCCTTCCTTTTAACCTACCATTCCCCTTTCCAGGTCGACGACTATAAGCGTTTTCGCGGTGGACATGCGCATACGTACTGACGATTACGGGCCAATCAGCAGCTACTTTTACAAGTCGTAAGGTTCTAATATCACTGGTAAGATATTTGTGTTGTTTCCTATGATTGCATCTACTTCCTTTACTCAGTTGCGGCTACTGTGCGGCATCTCACTACTCCAGTGCAAGGCAACCGGTTTGCATTATTGTGCATCTGCTGTCAGTTTTGCGGCACACTACTGGTAACCCCACGTCCCACACTGTGTTGTGGCCGCTTTTCTGTACTCAACGGCGCAGAACAGTGACTCCGTTTGGGTGCATATCGCGACGTGGAACCATCACCCATGTTATTACAACCCCTTTTTTTCTGTTGCTTCACTGATGTTCAAAACCTATGCCATATCTCCTTGCAAGCTTTCTCAACAGCCAACTGTTGCAACTAAGGCTGCACCAGGTTGACGGCTTTCATCAAACCAGGTTGACGGTTTTCATTTCAGCGGATGTCTGCCTTCTCGCGGTAAGCGTGCCCGCATTTAGCGATGGAGTTTCCGGCTATAGTTTTGTGTGTGCAACTCCTCGTCATGTTCATTTCCTGTTTGCTTGTTTTGCAGGGCGTATCTGTTGATGCAGGCTTATCGTCAACCAGAAATGCATGCTGTGTTCTTTTTTGCCAGTACTGCGTACTTCTAACCCCAATGGAAGTAATCGGTGAGTAGAAATGCATACTTGATTTGCATGTTTCACAAGCTTTAACTTGCTACTTTTCCTAGCAGGCAATATCAAGATGGCAGCACCAAATGTTACATCCTGGTTTTTTGCTGTGCTGAAGGAATAGTTACTATAGTTGTATGGGGCATAATAGTATTTTGTATGCAGACCCTTTGATATTAGTGGGAGAAGTTATATACGTTAAATTATGAAACCCTACAAAAATTAAGCTTGAATTGAATTTGTGGCAAATAATAATGATATAATCGCCAGCCAATAGGAGGTCGTTACCGCACACAAAAAATGCTCTCTGATTGGTACATAAGACGCGCTCGTGTCCGTCGATTCTAATCTAATCCGACGGCTGTCGTTGGAGTACGATGACAGCCACGTCAGCATGTTTCAGTTTCATCTGAAGTACGTCGTATGCCACGTGGCGCTGTCGTGACACTTTCGCGTAGGTTGCTCAAGGGTGACGTTTTCCGCCCCCCTAGTTGCATTACCGTATACCTCACAATTGCACCGAAGTGTACAGTTTGTGTTGGGAATGTGACGGGAAAGTCACTTCGCAAGTTACTGACGCTACCATTGTTTACGAGTCAAACTTTTTTTTTGCGCGGCGAATGCAACTGCAAAGTTACGAAAGAGCCATTTTAAAGTTTTTTTTGGCACTTGCCTTTTCCGTGATGGCCGCCCCATGGAGCCTTCTGGTCGGGGCAGCAGCGAAAGTAATCTGGAATTCCCGCTGCAGCCACAGATACAGACAAACTCCCTTCAATTCACACGAGGCTCTCCACACCGCACTCAACCTGTTCCTGATGGCTTTCAAGATCCTACTCTGGCGTGCGTCCACTGGTTCCAAGAAGAAGAGAGACAGGGCAGCTCGCCACATTAAACTTGCCACCCAGCACCGCTTCCTCATCTTTCCCGAGCCCAACGTCCCAGCACTACAGAGCCACGTGGTTCCTCACCGACCCCTTCCACCCTCCCTGAATCATTCCCCTGCCACATGTCAGCTGGATTTGCATCCACTTCTCCGGGTGCCTCCACCCCTCGTGGTGGAAGGATGACGTATTCCTACGTGCTCCCCTGGCGGGAGCCGAGCTGTAGCTTGCATCCTTATCTAGCTGCTTGCATGTCATCAAACAGGTTACGACCTCAATAAAACCTTAACATAGGGTAACAAAACAGTGGTGTTGCTCTTGCGAGTTTCGTTTTCAAATGAAATCGTGTCGCATGTTTCGCTCATGTTTATCCGAGAAACACAGGCATCCAGTCAGCAGATATCAAGAGCTCCTTCATCCAGTCATCCTTAAACCCAGAAATCTTTTATGTTCGCTTTTCCCGAAGATCCCGCTGAATCACTTCACAATTCCTAGACCCTTTGAGACACTGGTTTTAGTCCCATAGTGCCAGTGCGTTTCGTGGTCAGTACCATACTCCTGACCTAGTCGTCTCTCCTGTCGCTGAGTTTGGTTTCTGTTGCTCCATTCTTGGATTTCGTGTCTTGACGCGAGGGGGATACCGTGGGGCTCGTAGCGGTAGAGATGCTGAGCATTGCTCGGTCGACGGTCCAGGCAGCAGCTTCATGGAAGCTGCTGCAGTCGCCGGAGTCAACAACGAGCCTTGAATGGAGGCGAAAGGCGACATCGCAGGCCGTCGTACACGTCGCAATAAACAGAAGTTCGCGGCAACCTCTCCGTAAGCCTTGCTTTCTTAGGCATTATTGATACATTGTCGTGTCATTGTTAAGTTGGTCATTCTGATCATTCTAACCTTCCCTGTATATTTCACTGCATTTTCATCGTATTTCAGAGATCTTCGCAATTTCCAGCAACGACTTCCGTGTGGGAACTAGCATTGAGCTCGACGGAGCGCCATGGAGAGTGCAAGGTGTGTTGATAACTCTGGTGGGAACCCTCGCTTACTCCTGTTGATTTTTACGCAACCTTCACGTCCATTGGTGAAGTCGCCAATGTAGATCGCTCAATGCTCTGCTGTCAGTGCTTACTTCAAACACATAACGCCCGGTAAGGTTGATTAGGTATCTCAGTAGTTCACTGTGCCGTCCCTGATTCACCTCTGCTCTGCTGTCAGTGCAGAGTTTCTGCATGTGAAGCCCGGTAAGGGAGCGGCGTTCGTGCGCACCAAGCTGCGCAACTTCATCACCGGGAACACCGTCGAGCGAACCTTCCGTGCCGGCGAATCGGTCAGTCTCACTCGAGAGCGAAAACAGGATCAGAACCTCTCGAAACTCTCAGTACCTTTACCGAGTCTAACCTCTTGATGCACACTCTTTTTTTTTTCCCCTGTCGTCAGCAATATCTGTACCAAGTCTCACCTCTTGATTCACACCCCGTCCATCCGTCGACACTGTCGTTCCGTTCCACTGTCCTCTCGTGAGTCCACCCTCCCTTTTCCCCCACTCACTCTTAGTTTTTCGTTTCCTGATCCCTTTTCTCGTTCGACCCGTTGTTCTCGTCTTCCTCCCTTGGCCAGGTGGACGAGGCGAGTGTAATCAAGGACGTGAAGCAGTTCACGTACCTCGACGGCGAGGATTACGTTTTCATGGACATGGTGAGTCGCTCTGAGATCTCGGTCACGGACAGGGTGAGCCTCTCCACATCCAGCTCAGTCATTCCGGTCCTTCCGTATTCACGTTTCTCGACTTCGATGAGTTTGTATTTATGGACATGGTGAATTACTCTCACGATTTAACTCGCTCGTCTGCGATAGTGAGGGGGAGAGAGGTTTTGGGCATGCGTCTGTTAGGAGGTTTCGATGTTGCTAGTGTCGGCGACACTCTGAAAGGCGCTCAAGGGCAGTGGTCATGAGTGCGGAGCGAAGGGCAGCGGTGATGATGATTGTGATCCCAAGTGCCGAACGGCCGTCCGAGTCAAGATGGACGGCACTCATCGTGTGGCCTCACCGGCGGACTGAGTTGCCCTTCTCCGCCGATTTCTGAAGAAAACACTCGTTCTTGTCTTCAATATTGCGTAGCTTTATCGTGCTGTAGGTTTTCAGTCGAATCCAATGCGCGTTACCACTAAGCGCGAACGTTTCCCATCGCGTTCCTGCTGCCATTTCGGCGATGATGATAACCAAAATGAGACCCTCCGAAGCCAGCTGTCACATGACACGTGGCTGACTGCTTGAGGATAAAATTGATGCGGTTAACTGAGCCTTGCAGGCCAATGCCTCGTCCCCTTGCCTAGCTCTTGTCTCGTGCTCGTTTTGCCGCAGTAAATCTGTAGATCCAAGGCTGTCTTGATGTCCTCCTTTATATGCCCACATCTTCCCTTCCTTCCCCCCTTCCCCTCTTTGCCCCTTTTCCCATCTCTGCCCTTTTTGCCAATTGGTTCCGGCTCCTTCCCTGATTTACCTGATTCCCTTGGTTTACTCCTCAGGTGACCTATGAGGAGACTCGGGTGACCAAGGCTCAACTGGGTGATAGAGTGAAGTTCCTTAAAGAGGGGATGGAGTGTAACGTGCTGACGTGGAACGACAAGGTGATCGACCTAGAGCTGCCCATCACGCTCAAAGTGAAGGTCGTGCAGACCGACCCCGGCATCAAGGGCGACACTGCTGGCGGAGGTGAGAAATATGTGGGGTGAGGGGAATGAGTGGATGGGTGGGGTGAGGGAGTGAGTGGATGGGTGGGGTGAGGGATTGAGTGGATGGGTGGGATGAGGTGAGTGAGTGGATGGGTAGGGTGAGGTGAGTGAGTGGATGGGTGGGGTGAGGGGAGTGAGAGGATGAGCGGGGTGAGGGAAGTGAGTGGATGAGTGGGTGAAGGGAGTGAGTGGATGAGTGGGGTGAGGGGATTGGTGGTTGAGGAGAGTGCGGTGAGGGGAGTGAGGCGGTGGAAGAAGGGTGAGTGAGCGAGAGCGGGAGAGCAGGAAAGGAGGGAAGTTTCATGCCCTGGTGGACCTGCTGTTTACTTGATAATAAAACCCCAACAGTATACCAATCTATCCCATGTTTCTTCACTCCCACCCTTTCCCCTCCTGCTCTTCTTGCGCCTTATTATTTCCACTGACAGGTGGTACCAAGCCAGCAACTATTGAGACGGGAGCTACAGTGTCTGTGCCGCTATTCATTGAGGAAGGAGAAATGATCACTGTAGATACCCGCACAGGCTCATACATGGGCCGAGCCTGAAACATATACACCTTAGTCGGTTCTGATAGTTTGTAAGCATTTGTGCCAGTTTTTTTTAACAGTACATTAATCTGCTTCAGTAGCTGCTGGTTTCAAAGACCTAATGCAGACTTCAGGTATTTAACGTGGGCTATCTCCATATCAATATCCGAAATGATACACCACAACGTTGAAACAAGTGTATCCATGTTATATAACCCTAAATAGGCAGTTTTATGAGACTGATCAACTCCCACAGGTATACACACATGCACACACAAACACATATAACCTCTTGCCACCGCCATAACCCTGCTTAGGCCGAGTCAGTTACCTTGCTCACAAACTATACAAGCACCCCAGCTGCCAAAGCCGCAATCCGAAGGACTGATCACGCGGAGGATAGCCGTAGCGTCTTGCCTGATTGCCTTCCATTGAGCCCGCTCCATATAATCACTCCAGCAGCCACCGCTACAATCACAGCTGCGGCAGGCCAGCTCCACTGCGCAAACGCCTTGAGGGCGTTTTCTGGTAGCTTCCCCAGCAGACCCAAGGCCTTAGCCACTTGCACTACTGCTGCCGCTGCTGCTACAAGCACAACAGGCGCAACCGCCTTAGCAACAGTAGGCGAAAGCTGGATCGCTCTAGAACTCTCATGGTGGTTCTGCTGCTGCTGCTGCTGCTGCTGGTTTCTGTGATGCTGCAGAAAGAGCAACAGCAGCAGCTCGCGCAGGAGTGGTTTTCACAGCAGCAAGCTGTGTTTCCCTGGCAGCGGCATGGCCGTTTGTGGCAGGCGCGTGGTGGTGCTGATGGGAGTGGCCTGTCAGGGTCTCCTTGAGCGCGGAAACCGTGTTGTGGGCGGTGGTGGTTACCAGATGCGATAGCTGCTGGGCTCTGCGGTCGGGGAGGGAAGACGGGAGAGGGGAACAGTATGGAAGAGTGGGGGAACGGACGGAGAGGGAGGGCAGAGGAAAGCGGTGGCGGTTGCAAGTGGCGATGGTTACCGAACGAGAGAATTGCTCAGCAGTATGATGATAGGGAGGGGAGGGGGAAGGAAGAGCAGGGAAAGTGTGGGGAGAGAGGGTAGATTGAGGACTTAAGAAGTCCGTGAGTTCATGGGCTAAATCATGCGGTATGATTGTGAGTGTGTGTGCAAGTGCGCTCCCCTGCAACCGCACGTGTACATGTAACCCAGCACGTACGGTTGGAGGGGCACGTGGGTGCCCACGATCTGGTCGATCGTGTCGTTATCGATGAGACGGCAGTACGTCGTGGTGCACTCCTGCAGAAACTCCACCACGTTCCGCTCCACCTCCACGTGGCTGCCGACGGTGCCGGCCGCGGCGAACCGCAGCACCACCGTGCCGTCCGAAAGCTCTGGTGTAACGCGCGCGACGCGGAATGCGGAGGGGAGAGAGGGCGAGAGGTTGCGACCACGTGAACGGGAGAGGGCAAGGGAGAGAAAAAAAGGCGAAAGCGACGACATAAAGGAATATGAACCAGACAAAGTCGAAGCAGTATGTGAAAACATGCAAGCGGGAGACACGTTATTTACTCGTATTTGTTCCTATCCAAGGATATATGTTTGCTACATACTATGCGACATTGGGTGGCTGATGCGACTAGCAGCTGAAAACACGTACCTGCTGTCTGGTGTCCTTTATACACAGTCGCCAAGCTTTGCTTTGCTACATGCTATGCGACATTGGGTGGCTGATGCGACTAGCAGCTGAAAACACGTACCTGCTGTCTAGTGTCCTTTATACACAGTCGCCAAGCTTTAAAAATATTAGACAGTCGCAGTAATTACGCAACGTATTCTCGTTTTTGCGTACCTTCTACCCGGTGAAGAATCGCAGCGCCGTTCGCCTTGGCCGCCTTCGCGTGACCCGTTGCTACTGCGGCTCGCACTCCACGCGGCACGCGATGATTGGTCAGCACACGCTTGCGTGGCTCACGGCACGTGATACGCTGCGTCAGCGCCAGCCCTTGCATCGAATTCCGTGACGGTCCGATGGCGTTGCTGCTAACAGCGCGTACGGTACTTGCAGCGGTGGCGGTGTTTTGCGCGAGAGTGGAAGGAACGGCAAAGCTTGAACTGGCAGCATAAGACGTGGTCGACGCCATGGCGCGACCTTACAGTTCTTTCCTCCTGACACAGACTTTACAGCTGATATCCTAGTAACTCACAAGGTTGGCTGCAGAAAAAGAATGGCAAAAGCTAGGTTTTGGGATCGTGAACCTTCAGTGCATATGGTAAGAAATTATTTTGGCTTTGCCGTCCTTCCTGACCTAATAAATAAACCTCGGCCCAAAAGCTAGAACGGGGAGGCCGTTCAAGTCTCGCGCGAATTACGACGAATCGCGAATCTTGGGTTCTCACGGGTGCTTCGGATTGATCGTTGAATCTGGAAAAAAACATTTCACCCAGCTCAGCCCATGCCCTTCTTGCCCTGCACTTCGCCGCCGCCCTGCTGGCTGCTGCCCTTTTGTTTCCTGCTGCGAGCCGCGATGGCGGGATGATATGGAAGTCGACCATGCGTGTCAAACATTTTCCCGCGCAATTCTCTCCCAACGAGCGGCAAGTTCTGTCTGCGGGTTGCGCATGTGGAGTGTGACGTGAGTCCGAGCTGGAGTCTTGACTGCCGCTTGGAGCTTTCTGATTAGGCGAAATGTAGCACACGGAGTTCTAGGCACGTCATACCCGTGCGAGCTGACAAGATCCTGACCATCTTGATAAATCGGATATAGAATATTCGCTGTATACAGACAACCCATAACGCTAGGGAAAGTTGTAGACAAAACACATCACTTCATTTCAATTGATCTAAGAGCAGCATTTAGTTAATTTTGAAGATTTCTCTATGAGTCTATCTATACAGTCATGAACACCATGCACGCATTGTCGTACCTCGCGGTCCAATATCGCGGATGTAATGAAACACCAGAGACCAAAATCGATGTAGTCGCCCGAAACCCGAATCCCCGATTCCATCGGCTCCACATGTATTATTCTCTTCGCAGCTTGGTAATAGGTCTGCGTTATCGTGGCTATTAGGCTTCTCGTTCAACTTTTCTCTCACTATTGTGGTTTGTACGTTTGCTACTGGATCGATTCTTTTAGCGTCGTCAGTATGCTTCCCAGCCATTAGTTGCCCCGTTTGATTTGTCTTTGCCATTAGCCTGCTTTCCAGCATCAAAGAAGTCCTTTCGCGAAAGACGATTAGACCAGACAACCACAGATTCGTTTAATAAGTGGTAACATTTCTTATCAGCTAGCCGCTGGCGGCACCACTCGAGCCTCGCGCAGGCGGGCGTCGCTCGCCGTCGCCACATCGGTGGGCGACGTCGCAGGCGATGAATTCGGAGGGCAGCATGGAAGGATCTTCCGCGGACGACAAGACTCCGCGCGGGCGCAACGTGGCCCACGCGCGCGGGGCCAACATGGGCGGAACGTTCCCAATGCGCAGCCCGGGGAAGGCGGGGGCAGGCGGAGGGCAACAGCAGCACCAACACCGAGATAAAAAAGGGCATCATCATCATTACCACCACTCCAAACATGTGCGATTCACTGTTTTGCATTTTGAGTAATCTCAAAGGTCAGCACACTATGTTGCGTTATGTTGCCAGTTGCCGTCTGGATGAATCTGAGATCACGGCTCCATGCGTCTCTTCGACCCATGGTGCAATGATTCGTTTTAAGGCGTCTCGAATCAAGTCTTATTTCATGTGCCTATTCTTCTTCCTTATTTTCGATGCCAACCTAAAAGCTACTCCTTTTCCTCTCCCTTTCTCTCCTCTTGCATCTCCTGCTCTCCCCTCCCCACCCACCCCTCCGTTTGATTTCCCCCCCTTTCCCCGCCCTCGCCCCACACACCTCTCCCTACCTTCGCCAGAATCTAGGCACTCTGCAGAAGCTGCTACCATGGATTACCATTGGGTTACTCTCTCTTATCGCCCTCGTCCTGCTGGGCTCCGCGCTTTTTCCAGGGTAAGTTCCCTCCACGCTGGGCAATTGCAATGTTTATTGGCGCGGAACCTTATGCCTTGCTTTGCTCCTCACGTTGTTTCCCTCCCCAGCACCCCTCTTGCACCCGCCCCAATCCCCCATTCCACTTCCACATTCTCTTATGCCACCGCCTTGATCCCCATTCCACCTTCCGGCCCTTTCCACTTTCTTTCCTGTTTCGACATTTCCTGTGCCATTGAAGTTTGCTCACCCCAAAAATTGCTCTGTATGTTTCAAAATACCTAACCCCCACCCTTCCCTGCCTGTTCCCCATGCCTCTGGTCCTCAACAGTTAAATAGCTATGTCCTCTCCCCATCCCAACTCCCCCCCCCCCCCTACCCCCAGCTACATCTTCATGTGTCCCGAGACCATCAAGCGGTTACCAGAGCACTGTGTGAAGCTCGAGAGCGACCCCTTCTATCACTCACGGGCTTGACTGCTTACAATCTTCCCATCCCTGCCCCCTCCCCCCCCCCCAGCTACATCTTCATGTGCCCAGAAACGATCAAGCGGTTACCAGAGCACTGTGTGAAGCTCGAGAGCGACCCCGTGCAGCACGACTGGGTGTCGGCCGTGCTGCCCTTCGACTGCCTGCAAGCTCCCCAGTCCTCCCCTGTCATAGCCCACCGGGTAGACGACGTCAAGTATGACTTCTTCCTATCACTGCTGGACTTTGGCACGCGGAGAAGGCCGAACCGGAACATGGTTCGGCTGATGGAGGACCGGCCGTTCCTCAAGCCGGAGCTGGCTGTGGCCATGCAGGTATGGAGAGGTTCGGGAATGCAGGTACGGGGAGGTTTGGGAATGCAGGTACGGAGAGATCTGGTTATGCAGGTCGAGAGAGGTTCGGCAATGCATGGTAAAGTATTGGGTATGGTTGTGGTATGTGGACTGGCATTTGAAAAAATGCTGAGTGAAACATTTTGAGAACAACGATGCAGGTGTCCGCGCTTCAACTCATCTGGTCATTGACGCAGGTGGCTGTATAGAGTAAATCGTTTCCGCTGTCCCCCATACCCCACTCAATAACTCCGTCTCCCCTTCTCTCCCCCTCCCAGTCGGTACTGGAGATGCTGATTGAAGCCAAGGTCGTGCGCCCCGATTCACTAGTCATCGACGCGGGGGCGGGCATAGGGGCAGCTGCATTTGCAGGAGCAGCCATGGGCGTGTTGGCACTCGACCCTGTTGTTGAGGCCTCTCAATCTCCCCTACCACCTCATTCTCCCCCCTCTCCCAGTCGGTGCTCGAAATGCTGATTGAAGCCAAAGCGGTTCGCCCGGACTCCTTAGTCATTGACGCGGGGGCGGGCATAGGGGCGGCAGCCTTCGCAGCAGCAGCCATGGGCGTGCGCGTGTTGGCGCTGGACCCTGTGCTGGCCAACGTGCTCAAGATGTGCGACGCGGTGCATCTGAACCGTGTGTCAAAGAGAGTCAAGCTGCACCTGGCTGCTGTGTCAGATACAACAGGCAACATCACCATTCACAATGTAAGTCTCTGAACCCGCACCAACATCCACAACGTGAGTCTGTGAACCGACACCAACATGATCGTGAGGTGAGCCATGGGAGTGCGCGTGTTGGCGCTCGACCCTGTGCTGGCCAACGTGCTCAAGATGTGTGATGCGGTGCATCTGAACTGTGTGGCAAAGAGAGTCAAGCTGCACCTGGCTGCTGTGTCGGACAGTGTGGGCAACATCACCATCCACAACGTGAGTCTGTGACCACCAACTCCAACACCAACACCAACGTCTCAGCTAAACTGGACTAGACCCTGTGCTGGCCAACGTGCTCAAGATGTGTGATGCGGTGCATCTGAACCTTGTGGCAAAGAGAGTGAAGCTTCACCTCGCTGCTGTTTCCGACAGTGTCGGCAACATCACCATCCACAACGTGAGTCTGTGACCACCAACTCCAACGTCTCAGATAAACTGGACTCGACCCTGTGCTGGCGAATGTGCACAAGATGTGTGATGCGGTGCATCTGAATCGTGTATCAGCGAGAGTGAAGCTTCACCTCGCTGCCGTCTCGGACAGTGTCGGCAACATCACCATTCACAATGTGACTCCCTGATCCAGGGTCTAAATGTTTAAAATGACCCTGATCTAGGTCCCTAACTTCCCACTTCTGATCCTGTCCTGTAACGAATGCAACTTGACCCGGTGAAGGCCAATTCAATGCTCTCGAAAGCGTTTCTTTTAGTACTGACCACCTGTGCTGCTCCTTTCCTTGCTGCTTGCTTCTTCCATCTCATAACACTTTCTCTTACCTGTGTCCCGATCGTCCATCCTTCCCACCCACCCATGATCAGATCCTATCCAATCTAGAGCACAGTGCAGTGACAGCAGCAGTACTCACACTCGCTTCAAAAGACGCTCCTGTCATTCCCACCACAGTGGAGTCCCTCCCTATAGACTCCCTCATTTTACCAGACCAGCATGTGGCTGTATTGAAGGTGACTGTACAGGGATGGGAGCTGCATGCGTTTAGGGGCGCTGCTGGGTTGCTCAGCCGCCCGCCAAAGGAGGCCCCGTTTGTCTTGTATGAAGAGGACAGGATGTTGCTGCGGGCGGGGAACACGACGCAGGCCGCTGTGAGGGGGTATTTGGCGGGGTTTGGTTATACTGAGTGTGACCAGGCGCATGGGCTTGTGCACTGTAGGAAAAAGGGGTCTTTGCTAGATGCATAAAGCCCAGATGTGTTTGCTACGGTATTGTGTATTGTGGTTTGGGTGACAAGTGCTGCTTTGAGGAGGTGCCATACTGTACATGAACACATTCAGGAAGTGTACTCTCGTGTATGTGGACTGGAGCAGTAGCAAACTGTACCAAGCCTGCCAGGTTTCAACTGTAGGTTTGGGGTGATTCAAGATGTCCAGAGTTTTATCTGGCGTGCGCTTTAACGTGGCCATCATCCCAGCCCAACGATGGTGTGAGGGTCTAGATGATGCTGGGTTTGTTCGACATATCTCTTTGTTTTTCCAGCAAATACGCATGGCTTGCCATGTTTGATGCGAGCGGCCCAACGAGTCCGATAGATTTCGTTATAACGAGTATGGTTGACTCGTCTCATCCTCCTTCCTACCCACCACCCTTGCTCGTTCCAACAAACACGAAGGCTGGTCTTTTGGCAACGCCGTTACGGACGAGCTACGCCTGTCCTCGGGTTTGTTGGTGGTCGTGAGATTCACCTGAGATGTTTTGGCTGCCCGACAGTGACTTCGAAGAAGGGCTCCCCACGAATCTTTCAGGGTCAGATGCTTTGAAACCGTTGCTCCAAAACTTGTGCAATTCCTTATCATCCCATTGGTCTCAAACGACTGTCTGTTATTTCGCTCGCTGGAAACAGCACCCTCAAGTTTCTGTCAGGGCAGGTGGGGATGCTTGGGCTGCATTGCGGTTGGAAACCACGTTTGAATCCCGCCCGGAAGCACTAGCCATTTGACGTTGTCTGCATTGGTATGACGCAATCCGCCAATCTAATCATGGTCAATAAACGCCAGTGTGCCATCCCCCGTCAACAGTTGTTATCTGTCAATGCGTTTCGTCGCGACAGTGACCAACGTCCACTCCCGACGACTCACGACAGATTGCCAGCTGGAGTGCAGTGAAAGAAACCAGCTCAGTCTGGTAACCAGCTTTGGCTTATTTAACAACTACTAGCAAGGCGTATTTTTTGTTCTAAGGCTACCCTATTTGACTGCAAACGGGGCCAACGACAAGAACAAGTACCAGAATTTCAGTCGTTCCCAGAGCTGTGATGGTGCAAAATTGGGTGATCGATGATAATGTAGTTTCACTTGTCCTAGCACATATGTGGTTTCACAGCACAAATGTCGTTGCGGATTTTCTGCCACATCGACTTATACAAAAGGCATACGACATCCATCCCCATAAATTCTCCATTCCTCGGCAAGAAGAACGACGAACGGCTCGGGGTATGATCGCCTGAATTTCCTATCTTCCCCACGTGCTTGGGCACCAGCAATTATCACAACAACAGCAGAAAGGATAAAACGCGGAGTTTGAACTGACCTGACCTGACCACGCTTCGGTCGGATATCTCAGAATTGATGGCTCGAGTCAGCAGCGCTGCTCCTCCAATTTCCCGCCCCGCAAGCAAGGACAGCTGCGCCGCAAATTCCTCCCCCTCCTAGCATTTTCACCGCGCCGCAAATCTCCTCGCCCCATAACTGATTTGGCATTTTCCAGCCTCAAAATCCCTCCGCCGCGATTTTCACCTGGAAAAAACCCCTCCGCGCCGCACTCACCACCCTTGCAGGCGCATTTTCCCCACTGCACTGCACCCGCCACTTCATCCTTCCGTTACGCCTTTATGTGCTGATGGCATTCGCTTCACATTCGAAGTCAGCTTTCGTTTTTGCCTGCATCCACATGACTGTGACGGCGACAACCTTCCGCGTGAATTTTGTTTTAGCGATCGAGCTAGCCGAATCACAGTAACGACGCGTTATTTCATTCTTCCGTTGCAGTGATTCCAGGCTTAGGAATTTGGAAGCCACGGCTCCCAACAAAATCGTTTCTTTCTCGAAGCCGACGCTGGAGCACGATAGCCAGCTGGTCCAAAGAACAGATTTTTTGTCATGGCGCGGCCGAACGATCCGAGACATCAGTTCGCGCATTTCGAAATCGGCGAGCTGCTTTCGCGAATGTCGGAAAACGTGACAGAAAGTGACGCGGGCGCATCCGCCGCGCTCGCCTCCTCCGGAGCCGCGAGACGCATCGCGGTGCGGCTGCTCATCGGAGCCGGCGGAAGCGGCAATCTTGGCGGGAAACTGAACGGAAGCGGCGGGAGTGGAAACCTCGCAGCACTTTCGGGTGCCACAGCGGCAACCAGTGGGGTTACCAGCGTTGCCAACAGCAGGCGTGGCGAAAGATCCATCGTTAGCGAAAACCCCGTCGCGGGCGGCGGAAGCCCGGACAGCCTCGCGGGATGGGTATCGAGTCCAAAAGATCCCCGCAGGAGACTTCCGCAGAAGTCTGTTTCTGAGAGCTCAGAGCGCGGCGCATCTTCCGGGAAGACTGGAAAGAAAGGCCAGGCGAGCGCGTGGGAGAAATGCGACGACCTTATGGTTGATTGGTTAGGCTCCGTGGCGGAATGCGGATCCTCGGACGAAGCGGGCGGACCAACGGGGGACGTTGCGCAGGTTGCCGCTCCGCGGCGTGGCGCACAGAGCGGGCAGCAGGAGGGTCGCGGGGGGGGGCGCGGGGCCCTGGGGGCGCAGGACGAGCGCGACAGGCAGCGGGAGCGGAGCGGGGTGGATCGGCGAGACTTCCTTCCTGCGAGGGAAAGAGAGACCATTCCGCGCATTCGCTCCGATGAAATCGCGCCGCGGCACCTTTCGCGCACGAGCAGCTGCATCGACCACTCGCGGCCGGTCACGGCGCAGCGGGAGAAACCTCGCAGCAGTTTCGAAGGAGAGCGGGAGCGCGAGAGGGAGGGGGAGCGGGATGAGAGGGGGCGAGTGAAGGGCGGAGCGCGCAGGGGGGGAAGCGGAGCGGCGCACGGGAAGGGGGAAAGCGGAGGTTTGTCGCGAACGTCTAGCTGTATGTCGGTTGGCGGCGACGAAGTTCGGCGACTGGAGAACGAAATCGCCGTCTTGCGGCGACAGCTGGTAACTGTCGGCCAAGCCAAGAGTGCGTTTGGCAATCTCGGTTCGACAGGTGGCTCGGGCCAGGCCAGAGCGTACCAGCATTCCGGGCCTGAGGCCGAGGCTCGGTCACCCGAATGGCAGAGCATCGCAATGGAGGTAGTGGAACTGAGGGCTCAGCTGGGGGAGTTGACTGACGTTAACGGACGACTAACGGAGCTGCTTGAAAGGAGGACGCAGGAGCTGGTAGCGACGAAAGAGGAGCTGAAAACGGCCAAGGAGGAGCGCGACGCGCTGGCCAAGGAAATGGAAGCGCTGCTCGAGTCCCTGTCAGCATCGCCGCCCGCTGACGTGGCAAATACAGGCATGAGCGCCTCGCAGCAGCAACAGCAGCAGCAGAGAGTGCAGCAGGCAGAAGATCAGGCGCGGCAGCTGCAGTTACTACTTGAAACCGCCATGGCGGAGAGAGACATGGCTGTTCGTCTCGCAGCCGCCACAGGGAGACTCCCTGCGGGACTCGTTCCCTCTACCAGCGTTGGCAGCATTGGCCGTTCCTCCAGTGAGGAGCCGTCGCCTCGCCTGCGCTTCACTCCCCTTGACGTCCGCTTCCGCACGTCAACCCTCAACTCTAGATCCAATTCCCCTCGCCTGCTACTTCCTCCTCCCCCATGCTCCCCTTCTCCCCTTCCATGAACTCCTACTCTCCCTCCGCCTCTTTCTCGCCTTCTGCAGCATCATTCTCCCCCTCCTCTTTCTCCCCCTCCAGTTCTCTCACCAACTCCCCGTCGTGTCTGTCCCCCGCCGCACGCCCGAGCGCGTACGCGCCCTCGCCGTTCCGTTCGCACAGTGAATCTAGTTCGGGCAACCGTGTTGACACCATAGCCAAGTCGTGGCTCGGCGCAGACCCTGCAGGGCAGCCTCGGCACGGGATGCTGAGGAGCTCGAGCCGGGGTCTGGTCACATCAGCCATACCAAGCATGGACCCTGGGAGTCCTTCCGCCAATACTGGATGGAGGGGAGCAGCGAATGGGGAGGTGCATATGGGGAAGGGGCACCTGAGGCGGACATCTACTGCAGGAGGTGCGATTGAGGCGAGGCGTGTGTCGGAATCGCGATCGCCCATTTCGATGAGCCGACCCGGGAGTGCCGATATAGGTGCCCTGCAGGAAGGGGTGGAGCATGCTGTGGGGGGCAAGGCTGCGGAGAAAGGGGTGAAGAAAGGAGGTCTGAAAGGTATACTTTCACGCAAGTCCAAGCAAGTGAGATGGTCATATGACTTTGACCAGGAAGGCGGTTTGTGAATAAAAGCTCAGGGAGCGTGACAAAGGTCATGGTTCCTATACGTTTTTGGCGGCTGCACACAAGAGACGCGGCTGCTTTGACATCCTGATTTCTGTACCATAAATTCGTTTGTTTGTTTACTGATGATTTCCTTTATTTGTTTTAACACGATTTATATACAATCTGTTGATTAGGACTGTAGTTGCGCTTTTCGGAAGGCAGTCTTCTTGCAGCGAACACCCCAATTCATCTCATTTTCCAACCCCCAAATGGCATCACAAGGGGGGAATCAGGCGGCCAGCAACACTAACGTCAACTTCTCAGACGGACGTCACATCCCAGTCACGCCACGTTGGATCCAAGCTCCCCCCCACACAAAGCGCTTCGGAGGAAAAGGTCAAACCTCGAGATTTGTCGCCTGAACGGTGTCGTTTGCACTTGCGAGGCTGCCTTTTGTAACCCGTTCTCCATGTGGAGCGCGATTCGCGAGGAAGTACGCAAACCAACGCACTACTCAATCGTAATTCGCGAACATGTCGCCCTCTGAGGTAACTTTCTCTGCTTGCCTGCCATTCCCGTGGCCTCCCCTGCGCTCATCAATTCCTGCTGCATCTGGCCAAACAGGGCTGAGGCTGAGAAGGCTGAGACTGCTTTCATGCTGAAAGCTTCGCGCTGGGCTTTTGTTGTCCGCAGAATTGCATTCCGTCTCGTTCGCTCCGCCTCCCTCGCTCAGGCTGAAGCGTTTCGCCTGCTCGACCGTTTCGCACTTTGTGCGAGTAGTTACGCTACGCTTGTGAGTCATTCGCAGGTGCCGAACATTTGAAGATCCTTCGCGCGAGTCACTTTAGAGACATTGCGCGAAGTTGTTACAGGCGACGCTTGCAAAGACATTCGCAGCTGCCGGATTGATCGACGCTAGACCGCCGGTGCGCCATGATTCGTTGGGTGCTTCAATCTCGAGCCGCGAGCGCACGCTCTCGCGTGCTCGCGACGCGTTCACGCTTCGTGGTGGCGGTTCCGCCAAGAGCCGCGGAAGACTCCCCGCGACCATCTCGGTTCCGCGCATCCTACCACCCGCTCGCCCCCGCCGCGCCAGGCTCCGCGGAATTTGCAGTCCCCCCCGCGACCCTTGCAGCAGGGGCGGGTGGTGCTTCCGCCACTGCTGCTTCCGCCGCGCGCGCCTGTCCTTCCGCCGCCGCCTTCTCCGCCATCGCCGCTTCCGCCCGCTTCTCCACCGCCACTCGCGCCCATTCCGCCGCCTCCTCCCCCGATGACGCATCCTCCTCCGCCGCCGGTGCCCCCGTCGCCTCCTCTGCGCCTCCCACTTCCGCCCCCTCCCCCGGCGCTTCCGCCGCTCCCCGCACTCCTCCCGCAGTCGTGCCCATATCGACGGTCCTCGTGGCGAATCGCGGCGAGATCGCGTGTCGCGTGATGCGCACTCTAAAGCGCCTCGCGATCCGCTCAGTGGCTGTGTACAGTGACGCGGACCGCGACGCACTCCACGTGCGCTCCGCTGACGTTGCGTTCCGCGTGGGGCCCGCCGCGGCGCGAGAGAGCTACCTGCGGGGCGACGCGATTCTGGATATTGCGGAGAGATGCGGGGCGCAGGTGAGTTGGGGGACGGGGAAGAGAGAATGGGGAAGGAGGATGAACAGGTTAGTTTGGGGGAAGGGGAGAAAGGCGAGCGTGCAGGTGGTTTGTTGCGGGGCACAAGTGAGTTGGGGGGCGACTTGCTCCCCCATTATCCGCTCCCCTCTTCTCTTCCCCCTCTGGTCTTTTCCCTCTCTCATCTCCCCCTTTCCCTAATATCTTCCCCCACTTCAGGCAATCCACCCCGGGTACGGCTTCCTGTCCGAGAACGCTGACTTTGCTGCAGCGTGCAAACAGAGGGGAGTGGAGTTCATTGGGCCGCCGCCCAGTGCCATCAGAGCCATGGGGGATAAGAGGTGATTATAGGACGTGCCTGTTATGAGTGTGATTATACTGAGACTGAGTAAGATTATGTTGAGAGCATCGCCTGTAAACAAAGAGGGGTGGAGTTCATCGGCCCGCCGCCCAGTGCCATTCGGGCCATGGGGGACAAAAGGTGACTATAACGAAGGATGTGCTTGTAGTGAGTATGCTTATATGCAGAGCTTTGTCAGCATGCCTGTAGGGGGGCGTGATTATAATGAATGGAGTTTGGGATGTGCTTGTATTGAGTGTAATTTGAACGTGCTTATACTGAGTTATTCTGAGACCATACCCTGCCTCCACTCTCCACTCTCCACTATCTCCCCTTTACTTTCCATATCCGCCGCGTTTCCTCCTTTCCCCCTTGCTCGCGCCCCCAGAACCCCCCCTCTTCCACCCTTTCCGCCTCCCCCGCCCCACCCTCTCCCCCTTCCAGCGCGGCCAAAGAGCTGATGACGTCAGCAGGCGTGCCGGTGGTCCCGGGGTATCACGGCGAGGACCAATCAGAGCGCTTCCTGCAGGAGGAGGCGGCGCGGATCGGATACCCCATCCTGATCAAGGCCACGCAGGGCGGAGGGGGCAAGGGCATGCGCATCGTGCATCGCCCTGAGGAGTTCCTTCCTAGCTTGGCGAGTGCAGCGAGGGAGGCGGCGGCGTCGTTTGGCAATGGGCGGGTGTTGCTGGAGCGGTATATTCAGAGGCCCAGGCACATCGAAGTGCAGGTAGGGTGGTAGGTCACATTGAAGTGCAGGTGGGTGCGGTGAGGCTGGTATGGTCAGGTACCCCATTCTTATCAAGGCCACCCAGGGGGGAAAGGGGAAGGGCATGCGCATAGTGCATCAGCCTCGAGAGTTCCTTCCCAGCCTGGCGAGTGCAGCAAGGGAGGCGGCAGCATCGTTTGGCAATGGGAGGCTGTTGTTTGAGCGGTTTATTCAGAGGCCCAGTCACATTGAAGTGCAGGTATGGTAATTTAGGTTCGGTGACTCAGGTTCGGTGATCCATGTTACCAAAAAACACGGCCGCATGGGGTAGTTTTGAGGAATTTCAAAAGTGACGGCTGTATGCAGCACGGGGAACTGCTGTCACTTTTGCAGTCTAGGCGTCTTTTGCCTTCCCTTCCCGCCCTTACCCACTCCCTCACCTCTCTCCCTTCCCCTCCACCACAGGTGTTCTTGAGGAAGCATAGCAATGTGGTGCATCTGTTTTGGAAGGGATTGCAGCAGTCTAGGTGCCTTCCCTCTTCATCTCTCTTCATCTCCGTTCTTCTCTCCTGCCTCTTCACTTCCCTGCTCTTCCAACCTCTCCCGACACAGTGGTGCATCTGCATCTCTTTGAGAGGGACTGCAGCAGCATGAGTGGGTGCCTCCTTTCCTCACCTTCTTTCCCTCCAACCCCCTCCCATATTTCCCTTCTCCCCCCTCCCCTCTCTCCTCTCACAGGTATTCGCAGACAAGCACGGCAATGTGGTGCATCTGTGCGGGAGGAACTGCAGCGGCCTGGAGTCTGGTTGCCTCTTCCCTTCACCTTCACTTCTTTCCTCGCCTCCCTCCCTTTACCTTCCGCTCACCCTCTTCGCTGCCACCAAAGGTGTTTGCAGACAAGCACGGTAACGTGGTGCATCTCTTCGAGAGGGACTGCAGCGTGCAGCGACGGCACCAGAAGATCATAGAAGAGGCGCCCGCTGTAAGCACACATTCATATGCACACACAGGGACGCACCCTCACACACGCCCATGCACGCACAGGCGCATGCAGGTACTCACACATTCAGCACACTGAGATTGCCCCATAGCACATGGAGGGACTGCAGCGTGCAGCGGCGGCACCAGAAGATTATTGAAGAGGCTCCCGCTGTAAGCACACACACATATTCACGTACACATATCCACGTACAGGCCCATGCAGGCACTCGCACATTCAGCACACACATGCAGCGGCACATGGGAGGTCTTGATTGCCCTATAGCGCGGGGGAGTTGACTGCAGTGTGCAGCGGCAACACCAGAAGATCATTGAAGAGGCGCCCGCTGTAAGCACACACACATATGCACGCACAGCCACATGAAGGCACTCACACATTCAGCACACGATGCACCCTCACATGCCTAGAATGCCCCACTGCCTGGGAGGGATGGCAGCGTGCAGCGGCGGCACCAGAAGATCATCGAAGAGGCACCGGCTGTAAGCACACACACATATGCACGCACATGTGACGCACCCTCACACACGCCCATGCACGCACACGGATTAGAGCTTTTGATTGCCACACAGCACGGGGAGGGACTGCAGCGTGCAGCGGCGGCACCAGAAGATCATTGAGGAGGCTCCCGCTGTAAGGAAGCAAGCACGCACATGCGCGCACACATATGCACACACCCACTGGCACATGTGAGCTCTTGACTCCGCTGCTGCACGGGGAGGGACTGCAGCGTGCAGCGGCGGCACCAGAAGATCATCGAGGAGGCTCCCGCTGTAAGCACACAGGCGTGCTCCACTTGGTGTAACCACCCTCTTGAATACCCTACATACACTCTCACATACACACTTTCTCTCTCACACACACACGCACACTCTCACACACACACACTCACTCACACGCACACAGACATGGTCACACACGCAGAGACACACACAGACCCACTCACTCACACACATGCAGACGCACGCATGCAAGCCTTGTTGTTTATGCGGCCCATATCGTGTCTGCATAACTGTGTTTATGACCCTAGCTCCCCTCCTCCTCTCCCACACTCACTCAAACGCCCCTCAACCAGCCTGGAATATCTGAGGAGTTCAGGCAGAAGATCTGCTCCGCTGCTGTTGACGCTGCCAAGGTGGGTCGGGGTTGGACAGAGTGGGGAACTTGGGAAAGGGGGAAATAGGGGAACAGGCAGGGCGGGGGGGTCAGGGAGCTCTGTTTTGATGCTTTCAAGGTGGTTTCAAGGTGGTTTGAGGGTGGTTAGGGAGAGAGCGTGGGGAAGGGGGGACAAAGGGTGTCATGCTGACAGATCATGTCACTTACTGAGGTGACAGGCACCTCTCCTGTCACGTGTGCGCTTGCATGCGGCAGGCGGTGGGGTACGAAGGTGCAGGCAAGGTGGAGTTTATAATCGATGTGTGTGTGTGTGTGTGTGTGTGTGTGTGTGTGTGTGTGTGTGTGTGTGTGTGTGCTTGTGTGTGTGTGTGTGTGTGTTTGTGTGTGTGTGTGTGTGTGTGTGTGTGTTTGTGTGTGTGTGTGTGTTGTGTGTGTGTGTGTGTTTGTTGTGTGTGTGTGTGTGTTTGTGCTTTTGTGTGTGTGTGTGTTTTTGTGTGTGTGTGTGTGTGTGTGTGTGTGTGTGTGTTTGTGTGTGTGTGTGTGTGTGTGTGTGTGTGGGTGTGTGTGTGTGTGTGTGTGTTTGTGTGTGTGTGTGTGTTTGTGTGTGTGTGTGTGTTTGTGTGTGTGTGTGTGTTTGTGTGTGTGTGTGTGTGTGTGTGTGTGTTTGTGTGTGTGTGTGTGTGTGTGTTTGTGTGTGTGTGTGTGTGTTTGTGTGTGTGTGTGTGTGTTTGTGTGTGTGTGTGTGTTTGTGTGTGTGTGTGTGTGTGTGTGTGTGTGTGTGTTTGTGTGTGTGTGTGTTTGTGTGTGTGTGTGTGTGTGTGTGTGTGTGTGTGTGCATACATGTGTGTGCAGGCAGTGGGGTACGAGGGGGCAGGCACAGTGGAGTTTATAATCGACTGTGACACAAACGAGTTCTTCTTTATGGAGATGAACGCGCGCCTGCAGGTGAGTGAGACCACTCGCCCTAGGGTCTTCCTGCTAGGTGCAGTGACTCACTTTCTGCTAGGTGCATGGAATCACGTTCTGCTACGGACTGCTGTAGCACCTGCTAGGTGCTGCTCGATCTTGGCCGCATATCACCTCTCTCGGACTGCTGATACAACCCCTTGCGCATGTACGCCGAGAATGTTCCTAGAGGCACCTCAACCCCCCTAGTCCCCATCCCCCGCTCCCCTGATCCCGCCTCCCCCTTACCTCAGTTGGATCATCCAGTAACAGAGATGGTAACAGGGCAAGACCTAGTCGAGTGGCAGGTGCGCGTGGCACGAGGAGAGCCCCTCCCACTCGCCCAGGGAGACCTCAGGCTCTCCAGGCACGCCTTTGAGGCACCCATTCCCTCTATCCTGCCCTTCCTTGCCTCGTAGGTGGAGCACCCAGTAACAGAAATGGTAACAGGGCAAGACCTAGTCGAGTGGCAGGTGCGCGTGGCACGAGGAGAGCCCCTCCCGCTTGCACAGAAGGACCTGAAACTCACAGGACATGCCTTTGAGGCGCGTGTGTACGCTGAGAACGTTCCAAGAGGCTTCCTGCCGGCTGCTGGGCCGCTGCTGCACCTGCGCACCCCGGAACCCTCTGCCTGCGGTGGGTGGGGGAGGGGGGTCGTTGTGATTGTAATGATGGGGTGTGGTGAGTGTGATTGTAACGAGTGTGTGGGGCTGGAGGCAGCATGTTGGGGTGGTTTAGGTCGCGTGATGTACACAGTTGAGTCCACGCAGGGCGACACTGGGGAAGTGTTACAATGCCACAGCATAACATCTCCGCTATGTCGTCCTGCGTCGACTCAATTGTGAACATCACGTGACTTGAAACAGCCAATATACAGCATCCATCTCCTCCATCCAGCTGCAGTAGCTGTGTCAAGTGAAAGAAGAGTGTTTTTGGGACGTCTCAAAAACACTCTTCTTTCACTCGAAGCAGCCAATATGCAGCCTCCAGCTCCTCCATCCAGCTCCTCCATCCAGCTCCTCCATCCATCTCCTCCATCCAGCTCCTCCATCCAGCTCCTCCATCCAGCTCCTCCATCCAGCTCCTCCATCCAGCTCCTCCATCCATCTCCTCCATCCAGCTCCTCCATCCAGCTCCTCCATCCAGCTCCTCCATCCAGCTCCTCCATCCAGCTCCTCCATCCAGCTCCTCCATCCAGCTCCTCCATCCAGCTCCTCCATCCAGCTCCTCCATCCAGCTCCTCCATCCAGCTCCTCCATCCAGCTCCTCCATCCAGCTCCTCCATCCAGCTCCTCCATCCAGCTCCTCCATCCAGCTCCTCCATCCAGCTCCTCCATCCAGCTCCTCCATCCAGCTCCTCCATCCAGCTCCTCCATCCAGCTCCTCCATCCAGCTCCTCCATCCAGCTCCTCCATCCAGCTGCAGTAGCTGTGTTCATTCCCTCCCCCTCATCCATCCCCCCTTTCTCCCTCTCCCCTCTGTTCCTCTTTTCCTCCGCCCCTCTCCCCTCCTATCAGTCCGGGTCGAGACGGGAGTGCAGGAGGGCGATGACGTCAGCACGTTCTACGACCCAATGATAGCCAAGTTGGTCGTGTCAGCGGCCAATCGCAGCGCGGCGCTGCAGCTGCTGCGGCAATGCCTAGGGCGGTACGAGGTGGCGGGCGTGCCGACCAATCTCGCGCTGCTCCAGGCTGTCGCGTGCCACGCGGGATTCGAGCGCGCTGACGTGGACACTCACTTTGTCCAGCGGCACCACGATGAGCTGATGACGTCACCAGTGATGTCAGCAGCAGGGCGAGGGATGGGATCAGCAGAAACAGCAGCAGCAGCAGGAGGGGGGGGAGTGGCAGTAGAAAAGAGGTTGGAGTGTGGGGCGTTGCCCCTAGGTGGAGTTGAGGGAGCAGCAGTGGCTGCAATGGTGTGCCAGTGTGTGGTGGAGCGATGGAGGGAGCAGGGAGGTGGTGGCTTGTTGTCCTCCCCCTCCTCCCCTGCGTCCCCCCCTTCCCCCTGGTCGTCCGCCTCTGGGTTCCGCCCCAACTACTTCTACTCCCGCCCCTTCGCCCTCTCCCCCTGCCTGGGAGGAGGGGGGGGCGCGGAGGAGGAGGGGGACGAGGGGGACGAGGGGGAAGAGGCGGAGGAAGGGGAAGGGGGGGTGGAGGGGAGGGGTCAGGAAGGGGCGGTGGAGGGGTGGGTGAGGTATGAGACAGATGGGGGATTCACGGTTGGTCTGGAGGATGGGAGACACGTGGCAGCCTCTGGTTGGGTGGTGGATGGGGAGGGGCGGCGGGTGGAGGTGGAGGTGGGGGGGGAGAGGAGCCGCGTGTCGTTCTTCCAAGAGAACACGGTGAGTGAGAGGCAGTAGGGGTGGGGTGAGTGGGAATGGTGTGGTGGGGGGAGATGATGGGTGGGAGGGGAGGGGAGCATGGGGCGGGGGAGATTGATGAAAGGGGCAGGGCACGGTTGGTTGTAAAAAGGGGGAAACGGGGGATGTGAGATGAGAGGGACCCCTCTCACCCCTTCCCCTCTCTCACCCCTTCCCCTTACTCCCGTCTCTCCCTGTCTGTTTCGCCCTCCACCTCCCCCACCCTCCGCCTATCAGCCGGACAGCATCATATGTGTGGGTGGGCGGCCACCATCGCAGTTCACCTCGCCCTGCCCCTCCATCGCCCCTTCCGACCCTCTGCTGACTGCTCCTTCTCACTCCACTCTCCTCCATATCTCATTCCCTTCTACCCCCCCACTGCCAGCCGGACAGCACTCTCACCCACGTGTGGGTCAATGGTCATCACCACCAGTTCGCCTCACCGTGCCCCTCCATCGCCCCCTTCCCCCTCGACGACCACGATGACTACGATGACGGGGAAGGGCATGGGCATGGGCATGCTACTCACACCCATGGACATGCACACGCACATGCATATGGGAGGGGAGTGGTGGTAACGCCGATGGCAGGGCGGGTGGTGCGGGTGGCATGTGAGGAGGGCGCGTCTGTGCGCAAGGGGGATGTGGTGGTCATCCTTGAGTCCATGAAGATGGAGGTGAGTTGCTCAGCGAGGTGATGTGTGCTGATGTGCGGTGATGTGCGGTGATGTGTGGTGATGTGTGGGGATGTGCGGTGATGTGTGGTGATCTGTGGGGATGTGCGGTGATGTGTGGTGATCTGTGGGGATGTGCGGTGATGTGGTGGTTATCCTCGTGTCAATGAAGATGGAGTTGAGACCCTTATTTTGAAGTGCCCTTATCCTTTGCATAACGAGTTGATCTGTGGCGTGTCACACTTCCCCCACCCACCTCCCCGTTTCGTATTGTCACATCATCATATCATCCCTCATATCCAGTCCACGAAGTTTCCACCCATTACTTCCACCCCTTCCTCCCTCTACCTCCTCCCCCCTCCCTCCTGCCCCCCCTATCCCCACACGAGCAGCATTCAGTGAAGGCGCGTCAGTCAGGCATATTGGCCGAAGTGAGAGTGGCAGTGGGGCAGCAGGTGACAGATGGCAAGGCTATGCTTGGTGCTTATCTGTTCCCCTTGCTTCCACCTATTCCTCCTTTCCCCCCTGTCCCTTTGTCCCAACCAGCATTCAGTGAAGGCGCGTCAGTCAGGCATATTGGCCGATGTGAGAGTGACAGTGGGGCAGCAGGTGGCAGATGGCATGCCTCTCTTCCGCGTGTTGCCACCAGAACAAACAGCGTTGCCCTAGCCTTGCTGTCCCAACAGTGGCTAGTGGAAAGGGCAGGGTTGGGGATGGGGGCTGGGGGAAAGCAGGTGGCTGACAGCTTGTGTCTCTTCCTGGCATTGCCTCAAACCAGGAGGTTTCCCCATTCTTGCTTGCTGCTCCTACGGGGATGGTGGGTGGGCGGTGGTTTTGTGGATAGCTGATTGGATGCTGCTGCACGAAGCATCTGGCTGGGCTTTGATATTGATGTTATTTGTGTTTGCTTTGGGAATTCTCCAGGAATGTGTGTTGGATGAATTCAGGGTATGCCTGTTTTCTAGTGTATATAATGTATTATTTGGTTTTACACCAGATAGTTTAAAGTTCCATCAACTTTGTGAAGAGAATGGGCTTGGAAACATAGACCAGCGTCAGCATAGATAAAAGATGAGCGATATTTGGCAAAGGAAACAGAGAATGAGGAATTCGTTATTATACTGCGAAACTGTGAATTACCTTTTTGATATTCAAAATCCATATGGATGTCCTTTGCACAGCATTGCATTTACACTTTTCTGGAAAGGACTATACTAACAGTTTACTCCTCGCCATTCACGAACTTCTCAGTACCGGGTAATCGGTGCGACGAAGAATATCGCGATGCAGGGCCAAAATCAGAGTCAACGCTGTTCCAACAAGTACGGGCCACGGCAAGCCGGGTGGCGAAACTCCGTGGATGGCGCTGAGGTAACCACGCGATGTCGTCCCAGTCAAATATCCGTCGCCGAGAATTTGCGAATTTGGAAATCGCCGGCGCGTCTCGGCTGCTTTCACGGATTCATCATGGCTCCAGCCGTCTGGCTAACAAAAATCGGAAAACGCGTTCTCCACGCACATCCAGTGCTATTCTTGCAGCTATTTATGTCGCATTGCGTTCAGTAACTGCTTCATCCAAGCACACACTTACGCATTGTACAGCCTCGCGTAGCCTCGCGTAGCCTAGCGCTCAACTGACTTTCAAACGTCGGCCTGCGCGCAATATTTTTCGTAGATCTGCTTCGCGATTAAACTCCGTGTTGATGTTTATGCACTTGCAAGCCCACTGACAAAAAAAAACGAAAATAAATAAATAAATCCAGATAGCCATCCCCATCTAGCTTGACGCCCGCATATTGCGCTCAGATTCGTCACTTCTGGCGTTGCACAATGACGATCCACTTGAGACTCCTCCTCGCAGTCGCGCTTCTCTTTTCCTCCACATGTCAATGCCTCGCCATTCGACGAGCTCACCGTAAGCCACGTCACTGCGTCCCGCTATCAAGTATTCCCTGTATTTCTTGACTCTTTGTCGCACTAATAAACATCACTCAAACTCTGGGTTCCAGAAGCATTCCGCCCACATTTTCAAAGTTCTCACATGCACCTCTCCCCCCTTCCCACCCCCGCCAATCGCAGCGCCCACTCCTGAGTCCAAGTCGCTCTATATCGTGCGCCTGCGGACCGCCCTTCCCCTCGCCGCGTATCGCGGCGGAATTGCGAGCTTCCCGGGATGGACGGACGACGACGACGACAATGCTGCTGGTGCGGCAGCTCTGCGGGCGACGGCGGCGACGGTGGCGCACGAGGCGGCGACGCTGGGCGGCAGCATTCCGCGGCGCGCGCGGCTGAGCATGGAGAACCCGCAACTCAAAGCATACGCGCAGTTGCTCGAGGCGCAGCAGGCCCAAGTCGCGTCTGACGTGGGCGTGACGTCAGAGCACATAGTGTACAAGTACGTGGCAGAAGAGCTTCAAGCTCTGGAAACACATCTTTTTTTCAACCGCATTCCATGTCTCCACTCCGATACCCGTCCCCACACCCCATGCTTCCTTTCCCATCCCTTCCCCTCAACCCCACTGCATCCCATTCTCCCTCGATCCCGCTTCCCCCTCCCCTCATGTCCGCCAGCTACATGCACGCGAGCAACGGGTTTGCAGCGGCCCTCTCCAAGCAGCAGGTGTGGCGGCTGGAGAGACACCCGGCAGTGGCGGCAGTGACGCGCAGCCGCAGAGTGACGCCGCTGACCATCGACTCGCCCACCTTCCTGGGCATGCGCGCGCCCGGGTCGCTGTGGCCTGCCAATGGCGGGCAGGCGAGCGCGGGCAAGGGCATGGTGGTGGGCGTGGTGGACACGGGCATATGGCCCGAACACCCCTCCTTCAGCGACGCCGGGTTCCCCTCCTCCAAACCCGCCGGCTGGTCGGGGAAATGCGACAACACGAGCGAGTTCAAGTGCAATAACAAGCTGATTGGCGGAAGAATTTTTTACAAGGGCTTTAAGAAGGAATTTGGCGACCCGGACCTGTCTTCTGATTGGCTGTCTCCCCGGGATTCAGATGGCCACGGCACATGGTGTGCAAGGTACGTGGCTTGACTTCACTCAGCTTTTGGGATGTCAAAGGTTTGACCTTCACATGTGAGCTGGCACTCAAGTCTTCAAACCGCAACCAGATGCATTGCTCCCCCGTTCACTCGGGTTTTGTGATGTCATGGTGACTCTGCTCACACTCTCTCTATCCTCCTAACTATCCTCTTCCCCCCCCACCCCCCCACCATCCTCCCCTTCTGCAGCGCGGCAGCGGGCAACAAGGACATACCCATGGCGGGCGGCAAGGCGAGCGGCATGGCGCCAGCAGCGCGCCTGGCAATGTACAAGGTTCTCTGGCACTCTGACGGCTCTCTCACCGGGACATGGGCCGACATCGAAGCCGCAGTCAACCAGGCGGTAGCGGACGGTGTGGATGTGATCTCCATCTCGTTGGGCGGCTTGAATAATAAGGAGACCTACTTTGACCACATACCATATCTCAATGCGAACCTGGTGCGTTCCGTAGAAAGACTCCTCCTGTGACATGCTGTACCTCAGAGCCAACCGGTGCCCCTGCTGCTGTCCGCTGCTGCCCCTCCTCCCCGTCTCTCCACGCCTGTCTTTTCCTCTCCTCCACAGTGCCTGATCCAATTCACATCTCCAATCCATGCCTCCTGGCCTCCTTGCCCCTGTGTGGGTTGCCTTCATAACCCCAGCATCTCTCTGCGCTCACACTCACATCGCGTCTCCCTTTCCTTCTCTGCTCTCTCTTCTCCTTGGTGGTGCAGGCGGGAGTGTTGGTGTCGTATGCAGCGGGCAATGAAGGCTCGCCAGGCTACTGGGATCCAGGCTACTTCCGCACAATCGACAACTTCTCGCCTTTCTACCTCACTGTGGGGGCTAGGTGAGCCTTGAATTTCCATCTCTCTCTCTCTCTCTCTCTCTCTCTCTCTCTCTCTCTCTCTCTCTCTCTCTCTCTCTCTCTCTCTCTCTCTCTCTCTCTCTCTCTCTCTCTCTCTCTCTCTCTCTCTCTCTCTCTCTCTCTCTCTCTCTCTCTCATTCCCTCTCTTTCTTTTAACTGCATTGAGAGCTTCTCCCCTCACTGTCCACTTACATTCCCCTCTCTCCCTCCCCTCTCCCTCCTCCCATTCCCTCTTCCTCCCCACAGCACCATAGGCCGAGGTGGTCTAACCCTCAAGGCCGCCAAAACAGCAGCAGCAGAAGCACTCAGCAACACATCCTCCTCCTCCTCAGCCACCCCAGCAGCCACCGCCCACCCTACCATTGCCTATTTCTCCTCCACCGGACCCCTTTGCGACCCTAACATCGATGCCACCGGCGCTCTCCCCACCAACAGCATCTTAAAGCCCGACATTGTCGGCCCGGGAGTGGACCTCTTCGCTGCTACCCGGGGTTCGAAGATCGGCAAGCCGGGAACTTACGCACAGCTGTCGGGGACGTCGATGGCGACGCCTCACTTGGCGGGCATCGCTGCTCTCATCATGCAGAAGCACCCCTCGTGGAGCCCCGCACAGGTCATGTCCGCCATTATGACCACCGCCAAGACCACTGACACCAGCGGTGCTGCTATCAAGAATTCTAACGGCGATCCTGCATCTCCGTGGGAAATGGGCGCTGGTCACGTGTACCCACGCAAGGTGCTGGACCCTGGGCTTACTTTCGACGCTCGGGCAACTGATTATCAGAATTTTCTGGCCGGGCAGAGTATGAAGCGGGCAAAGAGGCACTTTCCGAACGCCAAGCTTACTGCGGTTGCTCCCCGTGAGCTGAACCGTCCCAGCATCTCAGTCTCCCGGTTGAAAGGGATGGTGACAACAACCAGAACGGTTACAAGCGTTGCTGATTCGTCGTCGTCATATTCAGCTAACATCAAGCCACCTAATGGCGTCTCCGTCACGGTTTCACCTGACAAATTCACCATTGCTCCTGGTAAGAAGGTCACTTTCACGGTGACCTTCAAGGTGACTAAGACGTCTAACAACACTCAGTTTGGAAGCCTGACCTGGGCCGATGAGAAAGGGCACTCAGTGGGAATGGTGCTCGCAGTTCAGCCGATAAAGAAGTGAGCCACTATGTAATATTGTATATACGGTGAAACATATGAGTGGGCGGATTGTTGCTGCGGGTGTTGTGCTAGCGTGCAACTCCTGAATGCTTCATTATCAGAAAAGGCGGTTTACCACATCTATGATTTCGGGCGCGGTTGCAGGAGCTGGTGCGTTCGTGCCTGCTGTACCATAACGTCTGCTGCTTGGTTATCTACGTGGTGGTTCTCTCCTCTGGCGTTTGAACTGGGACTGGGGGATGAAGGGGCTGAGTCATTATCACCCATGGTATGCGATGCGAGTTTGATTGGGCTTGATTTGTTGTAGCTGGATTTGTATCTCCCCTGGTTGAACTGGCGACGCGATTTCGAAATTGATCAGGGAAAATGCGCTTCGGGGTTGATCGTGCAAGCATTATCCGACGCACTGCGACACTCGCAGGCGAGAAACACATTCGTTCGCGAAGTGGGGGAGGTCGTGCCCAATCAGATGCGTCGTCCGTTCTGTGCGTGGGAACCCTGCCATTGTGCGTTCGGACTGCACTGTTCGAACGTCTAGCGTGGCGAGCAACGTGGCCGAAAAGTCTAACCTGTTACCTTTTCGCCTGTTCGATCAAGGGGCTTGTTTGACTTGTGCTCACATGAAGAGTGCTTACACATCCTTTCTCGTCCTCTATATGGAAATACAAATGGCTTTCACATTCATATTCCTTTCCCGCCACACCTGGTTTGCAAAATGTAGTATTCTTTAGTAAGTTGAGGGCTCCAAGAAAAAGGAACGGTCGATACTCATTATTTATAACTGAATCGAGGTAAAATTAACAAGATGACGGATAGCACAAACCCGTACGTGATGTATATATACATAAGATTAATGGGTTCGTTCACTCCTCGTCGTTGATGAATTTCCCTGTGCCGGGGTTAATAGCCGCGACGAAGAAGAACGCGATGCTCGCGAGCAGCAGCGGTTCCAGCTCCCAAACCGGCAGGCCCGTCTCAATATTCAACTGCGCCAGCGCGCCCCGACCCGTCACCACCTCGCCAATCAGCGACGCGGCGAAACCGAGCTGCGCCATGCGCCCCACGAACAGCTCGTTCGCCTTGGTAAACCCGAACAGCGGCCCGTCCTCTTTTAGCCCAAGCGCCGCCTTGAAGCTCTGAGGCTTCACGGGCGGCCCCGCCGGCTCGTCGTCCACGAATCGCCCGCGATCGCCCAGGCCGCCGATCGCGCCGAGCACGGTGAACGCGATGAAGAAGAGGAGGAGCGGCTCGGCTTCCGTGATGGGGATGCCGGTTTCGAGATTGAGCTGCGAGAGAATACCCTGCCCCGTGATGGCCTCGCCGAGGAGCGACGCGGCGAAGCCGAGCATCGCTACGCGCCCCACGAAGAGCTCGTTGGCCTTCGTGAAGCCGAACCCGCCCGATGTGCCGAAGATTCCGTCCTCTGTTCGGAGCTGCTTCTTAACGGGGACGTTCTTAGAGGGAGTGGCGGACCTGCTGGTGTTTAGGAGGGCGGAGACGCCCAGCCCGCGTGGGGCGATCCAGGCGGCAGCTACTACATGGTTGGTAGAGAGTGCTTCGCCCTTCACTGCGGTGCTGAAGGAGAGAGCGGCAGCAGCCTGGCGGGCAACGAGGGAGGAAGCCATTGAGAAAGTGTGTGTAGGTAGGCTGGTGAACGATTCGAAAATTGAAAGAAAACAAGCTTCGGAATGCGGAGATGCGAAGGCTTGATCGTTAGAATGGTAAAGAAGAATCTTCGTTTTATGTGTCTTGAACTCCGTCGAGTCGCGAATTCCAAAAGAGCCGCAGCTGCTCGAGAAAATCCCAAAGGCAAAAATGACCATCAAATTCATCAGTGAGACGTGACCAAGATCTCTGGCTGCCATGCTGGAGGCAGGTGTTTCAACTCTCGCGTGGAAGTATACACGTCACTTTTACGGTGGAACTTTCCATGCTGGCACAGGGAAACATTTCTCGCTTTCCAGACTAAAGGCCGAAAATTGTACACATCAGATCAGTGACCTTTCTCAAGCCTCCAGAACAAATTGGGACGCTGGTGTTGACCTCCTCTGACCTGATTTGTTGGAAGAAATGCCTGCCAGCTCCGCATCTCAGTAGCAGCATCAAAATTTGGTAGAAGTGTAATATACAGTCCAAATGGCATGACATCATAAAAAAATGATATATTAGTACAGATTTTGTTCTAGCTTGTTGACGATATTGCCTGTACAACAATAGCAGATCTCACTGCATGACCTCTATCATCTTCCCAAAGAAGGCTTCCAAACTGGAAGGTCTTGTAAGGTCTAGTGACGTTCAACACCAACCTATATGTGACCGCTTTTCCAGGAGAAACGGTAAAATGGTCCGGCTGAACCGTTACCTTGACTCCTGGAGGCTCAGTCACCCGTGCTTTATACGTGCAAGTCGATCTCGCAACGCTCACCACCGTTCTAAACACCTCCACCGCCCCCTTCAACCTCGCCACCGAAATCGTTGGCCGGTTCAAATTCCACGGCTTCTTCCGGTAGATCTTCGTCCCCGGGAACTCCCTCTTTGCTGCCCGATAATCCTGCCCAGCGAGAAAATTCACATAAGCCCATCTCCGGGCATCATACGTCAGCCCAGGGTTTAAAGCCCTCTTGGGAAACACATGCCCGGATCCCATTTCCCAAGGGGTAGCAACACCACCGCGCTCATTCAAAATGCGCCTCCCCTTGGTATTCGTAGTTATGGCGGTGGTCATAATGGCGGACATGACCTGCGCGGGGCTCCACGAGGGGTGCTTCTGCATGATGAGAGCAGCAATGCCCGCCAGGTGAGGCGTCGCCATCGACGTCCCCGACAGCTGAGACGCCTCCCCCCCTCGCCCGCCCCTCCCCCCGGCCTCCCCCGGGACCGTGCCCACCCACGCCGCCCAGAGGTCGACCCCTGGGCCGATGACGTCGGGCTTTAAGAGGCTGTTGGTGGCGTGGCCTGGGGGAGGGCGGGACCAGGGGCGGTGGAGAGGGCCTGAGGAGGAGAATGCAGCCACGACTGGGGCAGCTGGGGCAACTGGTCCAACGGTAGTGACAGATGAAGTTGTTGCTGTGATGGATGAAGCAGGTTGCGGTGGTGATTCAGTGGTGGTGGTGGTGGTGCTGCTGCTGCTGGTTGTGGTGCCTGTTGAATTGGCCCCTACTGTGGCCATGGCTGCTGCAGTGTTCTGGTGTGTTTCCGCTTGCTGCTGATTGTCAGTTTCTGCTTCACTGCTCCCGCGTTCTTCGTCTGATGCAGGAGAGGAGGCGAGGGATACGCCTCCTCGTGTAATGGAGCTGGCACAGGGGAGTTGAGGGGAGAGAGGGAGTAGAAGGGAGGATGAGCGAGGGAGGAAGGGATGGGGAGGTAATGGGGCTATGGTGGAGGTGGGAGGGGCGCATGCGAAGGAGAGAGGGCGAATGATGCTGCAACGCGAGGTATGCCCAGATAAGTAGACACAGCACAGAGAGAAAACCTCACCTTGCCCCCACAGTGAGGTAGAAGGGCGAGAAGTTGGTGATGGTGCGGTACGTGCCCAGGGGGGTTGAAAGAGGCGCAGTTAGGAAGACATTTAAAGAGGGGAGGAAGAGGCTCACCTTGCACCCACGGTAAGATAGAAGGGCGAGAAGTTGGTGATGGTGCGGTATGTGTTTAGAGGGTTTGAAAGCGGTGCTCCGTTGTTGCCCGCTGACATCACCACCGTTACCCCCGCCTGCAGGGGCGGAGTGAGAAAAGGGGAAGAGAGACGGAGATGGTGAGAGAAAAAGAGACCGGCATGGGGTACTGTTTGCACAACCTGATGTCTGAAACAGCATGGGCTGACACTACCTTTAGTCGACACAACTCTCCGACCAGGAGCCTCAACTGTCGAGGACGTCGATGCACCAGGTGTGCATGTACAGGAATGGGGATGTCATCAGAACATGTGGCATCCAATCCAAGGCATAGGCAGATAACAGACAGATGGAAAGCACTGTCCCACCAACCCTTGCCCCTGTGAGTCAACTCAAGTCACCCATCCTGAATAGCCTGGCCCACCAGTGCCCCTGAGAGTCAACTCAATTCAACGCACCAGATTCGCATTCATGTAAGCCACGTCATCAAAGTACGTGGCCTCGGGGTCATCAGCCGAGAGGGAGATGGAGAGCACATGCACGCCGTCCGCTACAGCCTGATTCACCGCCGCCAGAAGATCCGCAGACTCGCCGCCCAGCGCGCGGAATTCCGGGCGGTCGCCTTGGGAGTACCAGAAGACCTTGTAGGCTGCGAGGCGCGCTGCTGGCGCCATGCCGCTCGCCCTGCCGCCCGCCATGGGCACGCCGCTGTTTCCTGCTGCTGCGCTGTGGAGGGGGAAGGGGGGATGGATGGGGGAAGGTTGGGGGTCGATGGGAGAGGGGGGGCGGATGGATAGGGGAAGGGGGGGGTGGATGGTGGAAGGGGGTGGATGGGTGAGGTGGTGAGTGGATCGAGAAGGAGTGGGGGAGGAGGGTATAAGAGTGGGCGTGTGTGGTGGAGGGACAGTGAGGGTGGGGATAGGTGGGAGGGGGTGGAGTGGGGGTGGATGATGGTAGGGGTAGCAATGGGTGACTTACCCCGCACACCAGGTGCCGTGCCCGAATCCATCTCGCGGCGACAGCCAATCGGTAGTCAGATCCGGTTTCCCGTGCTTCGCCCGGAATGCAGCGTTGAATATCCGTGCCCCAATAATCTTGTTGTTGCACCGGAAGTCTGACGTGGCATCGCACGATCCTGACCATCCGTTTGGCCGGCTCGCGCTGAAGTTCCTGTCGCTAAACGACGGATGCTCCGGCCAAATCCCTGAGTCTATGACCCCCACCACCATCCCTTCCCCCGCCCTCCGCTTCCCGCCAAGCGCGCGCCACATCCCCCTGCTTCCGCGGTTGGCGGGGTTTTTTGCGCCTGCGCGTTTCTCAAGCCCTAGGAACGTGGGGGAGTCGATGGTGTCAGGGCGGAGTTGGCGGCTGGGGCGCGCGGAGGCGACGGCGGGGTGGCGCGCGAGGCGGCGGAGCTGGGCGGGTGAGAGCAGCGCGGCGAATCCGTTGGTGACGTGCTTGTAGCTGATAGGTGCGCGGAATGGACGGGGAGATGAGGGGAAGGACGGTTCGCAAAATATTAAATGTTGGTGTGCGCGGATGCGTATAGAAAGCACATGTAACATTGTAAGACGGAAACATTTTCTTGGTGCTCAGGCTTACTATAACGGTGTTGCGTGCGACATGTCCCTCACCTGTACGCGATATTATCCGCCGCGATACCGACTTCCGAAGCAACCTCCGCCTGCATCCGCGCCAGCAATTCCGCGTACGCGCGCACGTGGGGAGCGCGCATGCTCATCCGCGCCCGCCCAGCCGCGGGACTCCCCAAAGCCTCCTTCAGACTGCCCGGATTCTCGAGCGTCAGATTCCCCGAGCCGCTGTCCGCTTCGCTTCGCGAATTCCCGGAGCCCGCCGTCGCGCCAACGGGCCGCTGCGACGCCGCCCATGAGTCGCCTTCCCCATCGCCGTCGCCTGGGTCGTCGCCGCTGCTGGTAGCGACGGTGGCGGGATAGCCGGCGATTTCGCCGCGGTATGCGGCGAGCGGGGGCGCGGAGCGCAGGCGCACGATGTACATACTGGCGCCCGCGTCGCGATATGCCCCGGGCGGCGTGATTTGCGGTTCGCCAGATCCGTGGGATCGTGTTGGTGTCGGTAGCGCTGCGAGCAGCAGCAGTGACGACACGAGGATGACAAGGTTGGCCATTGCGCAAAGTCTGGGCAGATCTGCGCTAACGACGCTTCGACGCTTGCTCGCTACTTTACCAAGTAGTAGCGGCGTCGGTTAAATCGTACGTGCGCGGACTACCTGGTATTAGCGCGGCGGATGGGTCGGCATCAGGATAGGTGATTCTCGTGGCCACTACACGAGCGTATGATACATCCGTACACATAACGAACGCGAGTGCACTGTGTCGAACCGATCACTTGGTCAGATGTATGTGTGTGTGGCGTCACAGGCGGCGGGTCGCTTGTTGTTTCTGGTGCGTGTCACAGCATGTGGCTGGATCTTGCTTTGCTTGAAGGGATAACTGAAGTGAAAGTTTCGGGATTTGGGATTGGGATTGTGTGGGTTAAGTGAGGGTTGTGTGACGGCGCGCGGAAGATCTGAGAAAAAGGGGCGATTTGGGGAGGCCGGCTCGCAAATTCTTTTGGCGAGATGAGTTTCGAGCTTCGTTATGAGAGTAACCTGGGCGGCCAGTTTCGCAGATCACGTTAGCCATTCATATGGGGACGCCAGCAACTAATTGTGTGGCGATAATCGCAGCTGTTTCAACGAGCATAACCCCAAACGTGTTCGAACGAGCATGCGGCGAAATCCTCGCTCGAGAGTGATGATGACAAGTGCGACACCGTCACCCGCTAACCGAATCGGACTTTGAGTGAAGTGCGCTTCGTGTTTGCCCAATCAGCAAGTTTGCGTGTCTTTTCTGGCGCGATATACCTGCTACCTTCAGGATCATCCTACAAATTCTGCATCCGAGTAAAAGAACGAGTTAAAAAAAAATCCTGACATTTGTGGGAATGAAGTATTTAGCCAATCATTACAGCAACACTATACAATACAGCCAGCCATGTGCTAGTGAAGCATTCATAAGCATGGCACCGCACAAAGGACCGCAGCAGCATTTCACCAATTTGTACAAAATCTAAGGTAGGCTTGACCCACGGGACACATCCGTCGATCTCGTTACCGTACATATACGAGTACGCTCTCGGTCACAACTTGGTGGGCTGAACTGCGAGCACCATTCTCACTGCATGCCCTTTACCATCAGCCCATGTTAGGCTTCCAAACTGGAAATCCTCAAAAGTCTTTGTCACCTTGAAGGTCACCGTGAAGGTGACCTTCCCATCCTTAGCAATGGTGAATTTACTCGGTGAAACCGTAACATCCACGCCTTTAGGAGGCTTGATGGTAGCTGTGTATGTGGCTGTCGAGTTGGCAACACTCCTCACGGTCCTCGTTGCCGTCAGCGTCCCTTTCAACCGCGAGATTGAGATGCTCGGCCGGTTCAACTCGCGGGGCGGAATCGCGGTCAGGTTAGCGCCCGGAAACTCCTTCTGCGCTCGCTTCATACTCTGCCCGGCTAGGAAATTTTTATACGCAGCTGCCCGAGCATCGAACGTAAGCCCAGGATCCAGCACCTTAGCTGGGAACACCTGACCAGCGCCCATATCCCACGGAGTAGCAACCTCGCCGTAAGCATTCTTGATAGCGGCACTGGTGGTGTCAGTGGTCTTGGCGGTGGTCATAATGGCGGACATGACCTGCGCGGGGCTCCACTTGGGATATTTTTGCATGATGAGAGCAGCAATGCCCGCCAGGTGAGGCGTCGCCATCGACGTCCCCGACAGCTGCGCGTAGCTGCCCGGCTTGCCCACCTTCTTAGCGGGCCAAGCAGCAAATAGGTCCACTCCCGGGCCGACAATGTCGGGCTTTAAGATGCTGTTGGTGGGGAGAGCGCCTGTGACATCGAAGGAAGGGTCTGCGAGGGGTCCTGTAGAGGAGAATTCCGCGATGGAGGGGTAGGCTGTGGCTGCTGGTGTGGCTGAGGAGGAGGAGGAGGATGCGTTGCTGAGAGCTGCTGCTGCTGCAGCTGTGGTGGCCTTGAGGGTTAGACCGCCTCGGCCTATGGTGCTGTGGGGAGGAAGAGGGGGGTGGGAGGAGGGAGTGGGACGACGGAGGGGGGAGAGGGAAAGGGGAGGGGGGGAGGATGAGGAAAATGTAAGAGAGCAGCGAGAAACAGCGCAAGCAGGAGAGGTGCCACGGGTGGGTGCCAAGCAGAGAGGTAGAAGGGTAGAGACTCTGCCATCCTCACCTGGCCCCCACGGTGAGGTAGACAGGCGAGAAGTTGGTGATGGTGCGATACATGCTGAACAAAGCTGAACCTGCCCTCCCCGAGGGCGAAAGGTGTTACCCCCTCTTCAGAAGTAGAGCGTTTCTCACCTGGCCCCCACGGTGAGGTAGAAAGGCGAGAAGTTGTCAACCGTGCGGCCCGAGAAAGAGCTGTACGGCCCTTCATTCCCCGCCGCATACGACACAAACACCCCCGCGAGGTTGGCCGCGAGGAACGGCATGTGGGAGAAGTACGTGTCCGATGGATCTAGACCGCCCAGCGACAGCGAGAGCACATCCACACCGTCCGCTACCGCCTGGTTGACTGCTGCCTCGATGTCGGCGGAAACGGCGAAGAGGGCGCCCTGGGAGTACCAGAAGACCTTGTACATTGCCAGGCGCGCTGCTGGCGCCATGCCGCTCGCCTTGCCGCCCGCCATGGGCACGTCCTTGTTGCCCGCTGCCGCTCTGTAGAGGGGGGAGGGATGAGGGAGGTGGGGAGGGGAATTGGAGGTGAGAGAGAGGGATACCTGGAGGTCGGTGAGTCGCCAAAGCTTAATGCATTTGGTGCTAATTCACATGCTGAAGGACTGAGTCTTACAAGCACGCAAGCACCTCACAAGCACATCACAAGCACCTTTGCTGGGGCAGTTTCACAAGCCATACCCCCCCCCTCCCCCCCCCCCCGTTTTCAAGCACAAAGGCATCTCAAAACCCATGCCAAGGGAGGCCAAGCCACGTACCCTGCACACCACGTGCCGTGGCCGTACGAATCCCGAGGCGACAGCCAATCGCCCGACGACAGGTCCGGCCCGCCGTTGTCCTCCTTAAAGCCCTGGTAAAACGCTCTTGCCCCAATGATCTTATTATTGCACTTGAACTCGCTCGTGGTGTCGCATTTCCCCGACCAGCCGGCGGGTTTGGAGGAGGGGAAGCCGGCGTCGCTGAAGGAGGGGTGTTCGGGCCATATGCCTGTGTCCACCACGCCCACCACCATGCCCTTGCCCGCGCTCGCCTGCCCGCCATTGGCGGGCCACAGCGACCCGGGCGCGCGCATGCCCAGGAAGGTGGGCGAGTCGATGGTCAGCGGCGTCACTCTGCGGCTGCGCGTCACTGCCGCCACTGCCGGGTGCCGCTGCAGCAGGCGCACTTGTTGAGGAGAGAGGGCCGCTGCGAACCCGTTGCTCGCGTGCATGTAGCTGGTGGGGGGGGGGGAGGTGGGGGAGGGGGAGTGGGAACGGGGGAAGGGGAGTGAGAACGGGGGAGAGTGGGGGCAAAAGGAGGAAGTTTAAGCGGGGGATGAGGGAAGGGATGGGGAATGGAGGGGCCGAAGGTTTGAGGCAGTGTGAGAGTGGTAGGCGGTGTAGGTGAGCGCTGCTGCGAACCCATTGCTCGCGGGTGGGGTGCAGGAGTAGTGAGAGGAAGGAATGGGGGATGGGGGATGCGGGATCAAAGGGGGGAAGGAGGGTTTGGGATACGGTGTGAGAGGGGGTGAGCGCGGTGAGTGTGCGGGGAGCCATGGAACTGGGTCGAAAATCCCCTGTTCTCAAGCGACCTGGAACTAAGGCTCTCAAGAAACGCGGCGCGCTGCCAGCAGTGCTGGTTTGGGTCCCACTCGTGACGCTCTTCCCCCAACGTACTTGTACACTATGCGGTCTGACGTCACGCCCACGTCAGACGCGATTCGGATCTGCTGCGTCTCGAGCATCTGCGCGTATGCTTTGAGTTGCGGGTTCTCCATGCTTAGCCGTGCGCGCCGCGGAATGCTGCCGGCCAGCGTGGCCGCCTCGTGCGCTACCGTCGCCGCCGTCGCGCGCAGACCTGACGGACCGGCAGCATTGTTGTCGCCGTCGTCCGTCCATCCCGAGAAGCTCGCTATCCCGCCGCGATACGCGGCGAGGGGAAGCGCGGAGCGCAGGCGGACGATATAGAGCGACGTGGACTTGGGGGCGGGCGCTGTGATTGCGCGGCAGCGAGGTGTGGGGGGGCGGAGTGGGGAAGAGGGGAACGCGGAAGGGAACGAGGGACGGGATAATGAGATACGGGCGAGAACGAAACGAGGTTTGTGGGACAGAGTCGAGCGCCTCCATTCTGCATTAGTTTAAGGACTGGGTTTAAGCATGAGAGAACAGGACGAAGTGACGTGTCTTACCTCGTCGAACGGCGAGGCCGCATTGACACGTGGACGAGAGGAGAAGAGCGATGGCGAGGAGGAACCTGCTGCGGCCCGCCATTGTGGCGAGTCAACAAGTCGGAGCTGAAGCTGTAGACTTCGAGCTCTAGGCTGGGGAGACGCGGAGCCGCAGCTAGTGGATTGGCAGGGGCTTACAGGAACGCTATCGAACAGGTTCTTCTTCAGTCACGAAACAGTTTAGGTTGGCTGGCGAGCGTACAAACAGCACGCTGGCGTGAAATCGAAGTTGTTTCAGTAATGACGAGCAAATAGCTGACAATTTGGCGCAGAGAAGGCCAGAATGACGCCGCGCTAGTAAGTGAAGTATGAGGCAATAGGCGACGGCGATGTAAGGCGAGGAAATAGGATGCAGAATGCAATCTGAACTATACGGATTCTGAACGTGTGTGGAACAGAGTTGGTTGGCAATGAGAGATGAACCGAACCGATATGCCCAACTGCCGAACGCGTTTCTTCTTTTACAGCCTGACGGGCAGCTGGCAGCATTGAAACCCGGAAACGCAGCCGAGGCGCGAGGCGGCGTTCGAAGACCCTTCCTCGAATTCGCAAATCCTCGGTGAGAGGCGTTTGACTGAAGCGAACCGTGTGGTAACTGCGACACCATCCAGCGGAGCTTCGCAGCCCGGCTGGCGTGACGAGTATGTCGTGGAACTGGGTTGACCTGGTCTACCCCTGGGGCCAACGGGGGGCGAGGACGGCTCGGGTTGGTTGGGGAGGGGGTGAAGGGGGGAAGGGGGAAGAGAGGTGAGATGCGGAAGGCAGGGCAGAACGAGCGCGAATTCTGTTTTGCCCAGTGGCGTGGCACATAAAAAGGGTAGTTGAAGGAACTACACGTGGGTGTGTACTCGTAGTGGGTGGGGCACTGTCGCCTGAGGTGGGGTGTCGGCGCAGCTGGTGCAGCTGGTGCAGCAAAGGAGTCAGGTAACCGCGGGAACAAGAACGTAAACAAGAACGTAAACTCGGATCATGTGGGGAAAATTTGCTCACAAAAAAAACATCGGGGGTCAAAAGTGTTTTGTTACATAGAAAGACACACACATTTTCTCCCCCCCGCTCCCCCCACCTTCCTCCTCCCCCCCTTTCTCGGACTTGTTCCGCCCCGCGACAGAAAGACCCACAGCTCAATCTTTTTTGGTATTGTCTCCTGCGGAGCCAACTGTGGTTGCGTTGCCCCAATTCGGTGGTTCAAATTTCAGCGCGGTCCCACAAAATCCTGGGTTTCCGCCTGCGGTGCTGGGCGGAACAAAAAACGCCTGACCCTTTTCAATCGACAAATAGAAGCGCATTCGTTAGGTCTTTGAGACCTGGAACATTGGCAAGAGCCTGACATAAATTTAAGCACCTAATTACAACATACAATGACTACTTTCTGTTGCATTCATAGTTTTAAGGTAAGACTGACGGCTGTACAGCAAGCACAGACCTTACCGAGTGTCCCTTGCCGTCCGTCCAAGTAATGCTTCCAAACTGGAAGTTATCGTACACTCTAGTAGCCTTCAGATATAATCTATACACCAGCCTTGCCCCTGGCTGTATAGTGAAGCTCTTGGGAGTCACAGTCACAGACACCCCGGCAGGAGCTACAACAGCAGCCGTATACGTCGATGCTGCAGACGCTACATTCGTGACAACCCGCTTAACCACCACAGACCCTCGCATCCGCGCAACCGAGATGCTCGCCCGGTTGAGATTCCGGGGAGCAATGGGCGACAAATTAGCCCCAGGAAACTCTGTCTGCGCCGTAGAAAGGCTCATCCCAGCGAGAAAATTCCGGTAGTGGGCTTGCCGGGCATCATACGTAAGCCCTGGGTCGAGGACCTTGGGTGGAAACACGTGTCCCGCGCCGATCTCCCACGGCGTTGCCACCGATCCGTATGCATTCTTAATGGCGGTACCCGCCGTGTTGGTGGTTAATGCGGTGGTCATAATGGCGGACATGACCTGCGCGGGGCTCCACGAGGGATACTTCTGCATGATGAGAGCAGCGATGCCCGCCAGGTGAGGCGTCGCCATCGACGTCCCCGACAGCTGCGCGTAGCTCCCCGTGTTGCCCACGTCAGAGCCGACCCACGCGGAGAAGAGAGCAACCCCCGGGCCGATGATGTCGGGCTTTAAGATGGCATTGGTGGCCTGGGCGCCTTGGGAGGCGGTCCAGGGGCGGACGAGAGGGCCGGTGGAGGAGAACGAGGCGACGGTGGGAGCGGCGGCTGCGGCGGTGCGGCGGGGAGATGCGGCGGTTGTGGTGGGCTTGTGTGGGGTGGATTGGGTGGTGGGTTTGGCGGTGGGGGAGGAGGAGGCTGCTGATGGGGTGGATTGCGTTGTGCTGGTGGAGCGGAAGGGAGGGAGGGAGAATGGGGAAGGCATGAGGCGTCAGCTGGGCAAAAGTTGGAAAAAGGGGATAGAGGCGTTGGGAGTGTTTCTGACAAAAGAGCTCTAAGGGAAACGATTTTTGGTGCTTATGCAAGGCAATGCCCGAGGAGAGTGCGGCACAGGTGGTGTGAGGTACACTTTCATCGCTGTGCAAGACAGTATACCTGGAGTGGTTGGAAGCAGCCACAACAGCTTTGCCTGCAGAAGCAGCCTTTCTGGTCGGTGCCCGCCTGGCGAGAGACACACCTCCTCGTTGAATGGTGCTGCAGACGTTAAGGGTGGGAAGGGGGGGAGAAGAGGGACGACACAATCAGGGAAGGTGCTTTTGCTAATTGCAACCACCGGCAATGGAACAAGCGGGTTAGGTGTCCCTCAGCCGTGGAACTGGAAAAGAAGCATAGTGAGCAGGTGAACTGGTGGGGACCAGAGAAAGCAGAGGAGCACACCTAGCCATGACCATGAGGTAAAGGCGAGAAAAGCTGGTGCAGGAGTATGAGAAGTAGGTCATTGTGAGGGATAGGAAAGAGAGTGAAGATGCTGCTGCAGCATACCTGGCCCCCACAGTGAGGTAGAAAGGCGAGAAGTTGCTGATGGTGCGGTACGTGCTAAAGCTGCTACTCCCACTCGGCCTCCCGGAATTGCCCGCTGCAAACGCCACAAACACGCCGGCCGTGTTGGCATTCAGAAACGGAATATCGTCGAAATAAGTCGCGTCAGCGCTGCCGCCGCCCAGCGAGAGCGAGAGCACATCCACACCGTCCGCTACAGCCTGGTTGGTGGCGGCGATTATGTCCGCCTCTGTAGCGAACTGGTCGCCTGCGCTCGTCCAGAAGACCTTGTAGACTGCTAAGCGCGCTGCTGGCGCCATGCCCGAGGCCGTGCCCACTTGACCAAATGACACGCCGCTGTTGCCCGCCGCGGCTCTGAGAGGGGGTGGGGGAGGATGGGGGGTTTGGCATGGGTAAAGGGGCGAGGGCCTGGTTGGTTGGTGGCGGCAATCATGTCTGCCTCTGTAGCGAACTGGTCGCCTGCGCTCGTCCAGAACACCTTGTACACCGCCAGGCTCGCTGCTGGCGCCATGCCTGATGCCGTGCCCGCTTGACCAAATGACACGCCGCTGTTTCCTGCCGCGGCTCTGCAAGGGGTGGGGAGGACGGGCGGGGTGACATGGGGTGGAGGGGCGAGAGCCTGGTTGGTGGCGGCGATGATGTCAGCCTGGTTGGTGGCCTCTGTCGCGAACTGGTCGCCTGCGCTCGTCCAGAAGACCTTGTAGACAGCCAGGCGCGCTGCTGGCGCCATGCCTGATGCCGTGCCCGCTTGACCAAATGACACGCCGCTGTTGCCTGCTGCGGCTCTGATAGGGTGTGTGGGGAGAGGAGGATGATGGAGTCTGTAGGGACGGTGGGGATGGATGGATGAAGGGAACAGGGCGATTGGAGGAAGGCGGAGAGGCCAAGAAAATAGCGTGGCCAGCAGCATCACGAGGGGAGAGGCGGGTTGGCTCGAGTTGGATTACTCACCCGCACACAGGTGCCGTGCTGTGGCCAGAAGCATCACGAGGGGAGAGACAAGAAGGGCGCGGAGGCAAGGATGGTGGAGTGGAGAGACAGAGCAATGGCGGGGGGGGAGGAGGGGGGGGAGGGTTGTCTGCTCGGGTTGAATCACTCACCCAGCACACCAGGTGCCGTGGCCAGCAGCGTCACGATGGGACGGCCAGTCGTATGTCAGGTCGGGGCGGCCGTTCTCGCTCTGGAAGCCCGAGACAAAGTAGCGCGCAGAGGCAAGGAAGGCGGAGAGGCAGAGCAATGGCAGGGGAGGGTGTTGGGTAACTACTCACCCCGCACACCAGGTGCCGTGGCCAGCAGCATCGCGCGGAGACAGCCAGTCGTACGTGAGGTCCGGGGAGCCATTCTCGCTCTGGAAGCCCGACACAAAGTAGCGCGCGCCGATGAGCTTGTTGCCGCAGGAGGAGAAGTCGGCTGTCTTCTGGCATGCGCCCGCCCACCCCACTGGGCGTGCTGCCTTGAAGCCCTGCAATGAAAGGACAGGGGTGGGGGGAGCGGTCGGAGGGGAGGGAGAAGATGAGCTTGTTGCCACACGAGGAGAAGTCGGCTGTCCTCTGGCACGTGCCCGCCCACCCCACCGGGCGTGCTGCCTTGAAGCCCTGCAGTAGGGGGAAAGAGGGGAAAAAAAGGGGGAAAAGCAGGGGGGGGAGAAAAAGAGTTTGTTGCCGCAGGAGAAGTCGGCTGTCTTCTGGCACGTGCCCGCCCACCCCACTGGCCGCGCTGCCTTGAAGCCAAGATGCCATGCTAGATTGAGTGGCGACACGGTATTCCTATCCGAGTCGCACCTCTCTTCCTGCAGTGGGGGAAAGAGGGGGGCAGGGGAAGAGAATGGGGAAAGGGGGAGAGGCGGGGAGGGACGGGACAAAGCAGGAGGGATTGAGTGAGTGACTAGGATTATGATCTGCTGCCCCATCCCCATCACTCTCACCAACGCCACCATCACTCACCCCTCCGCTGAACGACGGGTGTTCCGGCCACACGCCCGTGTCCACAATCCCAATCACCATCCCCGCGCCCGCGATACTGCGCCGGCCCACCGCCTTGCACGCACTGGCAAGGCTTGCACTCCCCATCCCCACCACTCTCACCTTCACCAATATCACGTACCCCTCCACTAAACGACGGGTGCTCCGGCCACACGCCCGTGTCCACGATCCCAATCACCATCCCCGCGCCCGCGTTGTTCCGCCCGCCCACAGCGGGCCACACGCTGCTCGGCAATCCCAAGAACGTGGGCGACGCGGTCGTCAGCTTGCGGAACACGCGGCTGCGCCGCACAGACGCGACGGACGGGTGCCGCCTTAATCTCCGCAGTTGCGCGGGCGTGAGCGGCGCCGCGAACCCGTTGGTGGTGTGGCGGAAGTTGTAGAGCACTTGGCCCGCCGCGATCTCCGCTTCCGCCGCGACTTGCGCCTGCTGCCGCTGCAGCAGCTGCGCGAACGCCGTCACGTGCGCCGCGCGCATGTTGATGCGCGGACGTTGGTTCCCCCCCGCCGCGGCGGCGGCGGCCGCGGAGACGCCTGCGGACGATGCGGTGGCGAAGGGTCCGGCAGAAGCGTTCAGACTATCAGTGATGGCGGCGGCAGTAGCGGCGACAGTTTCGGTGACAGTGGCGGCGGCAGTGACGGCGGCATTTGCGGACGTGGCGATAAGCCCGTCAGACGAACCGCCTCCGCCGCCGTCGTCGTCGGGGTCATCGGCCCACACCGCCGTGGCGGGGTATCCGGGGATCCCGCCGCGATACGCGGTGAGCGGAGGCGCGGAGCGCAGGCGGACTATGTAAAGCGGGTTCTTGGCGGAGACGACTGCAGGGGAAAGCGGAAAGGGAGGGCGGGGAGGAAATGGGGAGAGCGGGAGAAGGGGCGGGGGGATGGGGGGAGGGGTGAGGATCAAACTTCCGACGCGCATGGCCGCTTATGTGGGCGTCGCGCGAACGATCGCACGTGCGACGTGAGAGGGCGGCGATGACGGCAAGCGAATGAGTTATTGCACGGCGCCGCGAGCGTCTCTCTTGTAGAGGGTCGTGCTCATAACGAAGAAACCATCGTGACTATACCTTGAACAGAGTGAGATTGGGCGATCCATAGGGTTCCTAGTAACAGCGCCAAGTATCGGAGTCTTTCGGTCATTGAGAAGGTGCGAGCCTTGAACCGTATACTGATTACTTTATGAGCCGAGACGCTGAGATATGTCAGAAGAATCTGCGAGGAGATCGGTGGATCTTCAGTTTGACGATGTCGGGTTTCTTGTGGCCAATTGAAAGGTAGACACTTGGCCTTGCGCATTTAATGTGAGGGATAGAGACCTGCAGCAAGCAGTGGTCCCAGCAAGTACGATTGGAACGTAAGGCGAACGCGATTGTATCAACTAATGCGGAAACTATGCTGAGAGACGACCAGCTATGTTTACCAGTCATCGCTGATGCTACTGTTGGGCTGTCTTGGGAAGGGGGAAAGTGGGTTGGGGAATCAGCCATGGCGTGGGGCGGTGGGATGAGGAGGAGCAGAAAGAAGTTTCGCTTTTCGGTTCGGACGAGCCGCAGGGGCGAGATTTGGGGGGAGGCGCAAGGGAATTTGTGGCGGCGGCATGGGCTTGTGTTTTCGGTTTGGTAGGATTTTGTGGACGGTGCAAGTGCAGATGGAAATGAGCTAGGACTCGGGCTGATCGAAATACTTCCGTAGAATTTTAGGGAATTCAGCAGTTTAAGCAACGTGGTATTTCATTACTCAACAATTCTCCCTTGACTTTAAAGTACAAGAGGACACGATATATTTGTAGTACTTCTACCCCTGGAAACATGCATGATTGCTCGTTATGGACATATCAAGTGAGTCGACCAACCAGAAACAAAACGCCATGCGCCATTCCAGACCTTAGCGGGCAAACAAGCGGACAAACCCCAAGCCACACCAGCCCCTCCCCCTCACCGCAATCTGCCCCATCGAGCGGCGCGCGTGGAACAGCGCCGTCAAAGGGGAAGCGTTCGTGTCGCCGTGGGTGGAGATGGGGGCTACAGTATCATCATCGTCGCTTGTTTGCAATTACAACTAGCGAACAGTCCAAACCAATCGCGGCGAAGAAAAAATTAGTCGCGAACACAGCTGGCACAGCTTCGTTCCTGCTCTGTCTCTCGCTTCTTTCCCATGCTCCAGGGAAGGAGGGGTTTTCTCGTGTAACCACCGACATGCGGTGACTAGTCAACACCTTTCTCGTTACCCTTGAATTTCGCCCCACTCGCCATCCCCGCTAAACAGAAGTGCGTATCCACAATTACGGTACCCCAACAAGTGTGATTCTTGCGTTAGAACGTTTCCAGATACTATTGGGGAAAGAGCATTCCTCACCATTCTTGATGTGAAACATCTGAGAAACCCAACCCAAAAGAGAGTAAACATGTAGCAGGCAGTGATGCTAGTGCCCATGTTTAGAATAAATCTTCATAACAAGAAACTGATCAATCCAAAAGGAACTCATACATACAAGGACCCAAGCCCTACAACCATTCCAAATACTGTCTTATTGGATTTGCATCCCTCCCATGTATCCAACTACCATTCTCTGAACCCAAACACACCATTCCCCCTCCACCCTGCCTCTCCATCCCCTCATCAATACGATTGCCGGCCATCGCCGTCCGTGATAATATCCTTGAAGGTCCTGCCGCCCGGAATCATGGGCAGCACGTGCTCTTGGTGCGGCACAATGATATCCAGCAGGTACGGCCCCTCTGCTGCCAGCATCCTCTCTATGGCCCCCCGCAGGTCCGCCTTGCGTGTGACGCGCTCCGAAGGCACCTTGCAGGCGGCAGCGAATTTGGTGAAGTCGGGGAAGATCTCGTCCTCCTGGTCTGGCAGACCCAGGAACGTGTGTGCACGGTTGGCCTGGGGGGGGGGGGAGGTGTGACAAGAGGGGTGGAAGAGATGAAAGGAGTGCCGGGCAAACAACTAAGGGCCCCTCCCCTCCTAGGGAAATATCACTCATGGTGAAGCAGGACCAGGAAGTTGAGGGAACAGTTAGCCTGGACACAGGGGAGGGGGTGTAAGATGGGATGGGGTGTGTGAGAGGAGTCTGGGGGGAGTGAGGGATGGAATGGAGGTGGGAAGAGGTCATGCTTAATAAGATCATGGTTCAGGGTGCACAGGATGAATCTACTAGTGTGCTTGCAGGTAAGTATGCTTCTCAGTCTTGAATTCACTGGAACCAGCATTCACCCACCCCTCACACATCCCACGCCAATCCTCGAAAAAAACCTCATGTTGTCGCCTCCCAATGTACCAACAACCCCCTCCCCTCCCCACCACTCCCCACCCCTCCTCACCTTGTAGAACCGATCTTCCCACTGCACCACCATGCCCAGGTGCTGGTTGTTCAGAATCATGATCTTCACTGGCAGCTTCTCCGCAGTAATCGTAGCAAGCTCCTGGACATTCATAATGAACGACCCGTCCCCATCAATATCAATCACAGGGAGCCCTGGATTGCTGGCAATGGCGCCAAGAGCGGAGGGCAGGCCGAAGCCCATGGAGCCCAGCCCACCCGAGGTGATCCAGCGGCGTGGCTGCTGGTACTTGAAGAACTGCGCCGCCCACATTTGGTGCTGCCCCACGCCCGTTGCAATGACTGCCTCGCCCTTGGTGATTTCATACAGCATCTCAATCGCCTCCTGGGGGAGGATGGCTTCTTCCACCTGATGTGTTCATGACAATCCAGGGAGACACGGGAGAAGGGAATGGAGAAGGAAGTGGGAAGAGGAGGGGGGGTTAGGGGGTGAGTTATACTCAAAGGCCTCCTGAGGTGATCCAGCGGCGTGGCTGCTGGTACTTGAAGAACTGCGCCGCCCACATCTGGTGCTGCCCCACGTCCGTTGCGATGACCGCCTCGCCCTTGGTGATTTCATACAGCATCTCAATCGCCTCCTGGGGGAGGATTGCCTCCTCCACCTGATGTGTTCATGGCAAGGCAGGGAGACAAGGGAGAAGGGAATGGAGATGGGAGAGGGAAGGGGGGTAAGGGGTTGAGAGTGAGACACAGCAACCTTCTTGATGTGATCCAGCGGCGCGGCTGCTGGTATTTGAAGAACTGCGCCGCCCACATCTGGTGCTGCCCCACTGCCGTCGTGAGGGTCAGAATCGCCTTCTCCGCCTGATGGTGGAGGGTTGAGGGAAGGAGGGGAGGAGGGGAGGGTTGAGGCCCTTGGCAGTGATGCAGGGCAGCGATTTTCACTCATGAGAGGGAATTGTTTCAGAGCTCACTGTACCGCGTTAGACAAGGGAATGCACAGATGGCAGCGATTAAGAGTGCAGGAAAAGGGGGAGGGGAAGAGATGCAGGGGAATGTGTAAAGGCGGGAGCAGGGGGTGAGAGCGCTACTATGTGCGGTGGTTATCCCGATGTGTGGCATTCTGGGTCCGTTACAACCCGCCTCGTTATGCTGCTATACCACGCATCCTCCTGCATTCATACGCGCGGTACCTGAGGTACGCGCTCGTGCCCCCATGTGCGCCAGTCAGGGACGTGCATTCAGATTCCCGGTTCAACCACTGCTGTTGTTACTGCCGTAGCCACTGCTATTGCTGCTTCACTTCCAGTCCGAGTTCAATTACTGCCATTGACTTTTGAGACGTCTCAAAAGTTTACTGCCATTGTACTGCGATTGCTATTGCCGTTGCCACTACATTCTGGACGCATCCACAGGTACTTGGGTGGCGAAGTCTCCTTATGCGCCCTGTCACGCGCTCGGCGCCACGACCCGCAGCGCATCCTCCCTCTACTATAACGCATTGCCATTGCCTTAACCACAGCCCCGGATCACCTTGGGGTACTTGAGCGGCCACTTCTCCTTCTGCTCGCGGCACTCGTAGCGACAGTTGATCGCAACGCATCCTAACCCCCAATTTCCTCCCCCCCCCTCCTTTGCCACAGCCAGTGCCACGCGGCTCACCTTGGGGTACTTGAGCGGCCACTTCTCCTTCTGCTCGCGGCACTCGTCGCGCCACTCCGCGTACGACGGCAGCGGGCGCCCCTCCGCGACCTCCTCCTTGATGGCGGCGTTCAGCAGCGCGAGCGCGGGGCGCACGTCCGCGTGCATGCTGACGTGCGCCTCCTTGTTCTTCCCGATCTCCGCGGGGTCGATATCGATGTGCACTATGCTGGCGCGTGCTGCGAAGGCCTGGGGAAGGGGGAAAAGGGGGGGGGGGCGGAGAAACAGATGAGAATGAGCGTCCGCGTGCATGCTGACGTGCGCCTCCTGGTTCTTCCCGATCTCCGCGGGGTCGATGTCGATATGCACTATGCTCGCGCGCGCCGCGATCGCCTGAAAGAAGAGCAGGTGGGGTTGAGGAGGGGAGGAAGCAGGGGGGGGAATGAGGTGGGGGAATAGGACCAGTGATCACCGCGGGGTCGATGTCGATGTGCACTATGCTGGCGCGCGCCGCGAACGCCTGAAAGAGGGGGAGGATGGGGGAAGATGGGGGGGTTCTCCGCGGGGTTGATGTCGATGTGCACTATACCCGCTCGCGCCGCGAACGCCTGGGGGAAGGGGGGCAAGTGGGGAGCGAGAAGGAGGGGGGAATGAGCTCGAAAGAAGAGGAGGGGGTGGATTTCAAGCTATCAGAGGAGCTATAAGCTGGCTATTTCAGGGGGGGAGAGAGTGTGGAGAAGGTATGCGCGAAGAATTCTGGTACGATAGGGAGTAATTCACGCAAAAGTGGAGTGGAGAGGGACGAAATAGGGCGTGATTCAGGAGCCACGAGATGACTCACATCGAGCTTGCCGGTGACGCGGTCATCGAAGCGCACGCCGAAAGCCAGCAGCAGGTCCGACGCGTCAACCGCATAGTTAGCATACACCGTGCCGTGCATGCCCAGCATGTGCAGCGCATCTGGCGCCGACTGATCGTACACGCCCAGACCCATGAGGGTGGAAACCACCGGGACCCCCGTGAGGCGCGCGAATTCGCGGATCTCGTCCGCCGCGTGCAGGCAGCCTCCGCCGAGGTAGACGACGGGGCGCTTGGAGGAGCGCAGCAGGCGGAGGATCTGGTCGACCTGCGCGCGCTGCGGCGGCGGCGGCAGGCGAGAGAGGTAGGCGTTGAGGCGCATGGGCTGGTTCCACGACGGCACGGCGAGCGTCTGCTGCACGTCCTTGGGCACGTCGATCAGCACGGGGCCGGGGCGACCCGAGGCGGCGAGGAAGAACGCCTCGCGCACTGGAGGGATGCGGGGATTGGACGAAACGGGAATTTGAAGTTCAGGCACGCGGAGAAAGCATAGAATGCGGGCTGCTGGTGAACTATCCAGTTGATTATAGGAAACACGTGTTTTGCACTGTTGCACAGGGCATTGCTACAGCATCGTTTTCATAAGCCGGTGCAACAACCGCCTTCGCTTCAAAGCCAAGGGCGAGTGTTCGAGAAAGACTCACCGATACACAGAATGACGACCATGACGAGGTAGTTGTGCTTGGTGATCGACCGCGTCACCTCCACGATCGGCGTCACGTTGACTAGCGTTGACTTGCGCTGACTCAAGGGACAAAAAGAGACTCACCGATGCGCGGAATATCATCGACGTCCATGACGAGGTAGTTGTGCTTCGTGATCGACCGTGTCACCTCCACGATCGGCGTCTCCTGGAACGCGTCAGTCCCGATAAACGGCCGCGGCACCTGGCCGGTAATCGCGACGAGCGGCACGGAGTCCAGCATCGCGTCAGCCAATCCCGTCACGAGGTTCGTCGCGCCGGGTCCGGACGTCGCGATGCACACGCCGACGCGGCCCGAGACCTTGGCGTAGCCCTCGGCGGCGAACACCTCACCCTGCTCGTGCCGGCACAGGATCGTGCGGATGTTCGGCGACCGCGTCAGCGCCTGCCCCGCGGTGGAGGTTTCCGGGTGGGAGGGGAAGTAAAACAGACGAGCGACGGTTAGAGACGAGCTCAGACGCCAACAAACTGGATGTTGCGCGACCGGGTTTACGTTCACTGGTATAATACTTCAAAAAACAATGACCGGTGAGAGGAAACAGAAGCGCGGTGAAGAACGATGATTAGGAATTCCGCGACTTTTGTATCAAAAAAGTGTTGGCTTTGACAGATTCAGGTCTCGCTTCAGGCAGATCTCACAAGAAGACGGCAGGAGCGCCAACGCGGGAGTTACGCAAGGTAACTTATTTTCAATTAGCATCTCAAGGTGGAATTTAACAAGAGATGATACCTGGTGAATCTCGAGGGACGCGCCGCCAGGGTAAGCGAAGAGCGTTCGCACGCCCTCCCTCTCGAGGGCCTCCACGAGAATGTCGCAGCCCTTGCGCGGCTCGTTGTCGCCGTAGCGCGACACAAAGTCTTTAGGAGTGGGCGGCACGAGCGATTTGCCGCTGCTCACGCGCTGGCTCTGCAGCGCCAACTCCCCATCCTGCGACACGGCGGGGCGGCTCGCGACGTTCGCCTTGGCACCTTCCGCGGGAGCCTCCGCGCGCACGGTTTGCGAGCGGCGTCGGCAGGCCGCGTTGGCGGTGTGGCGAACGGAAGCGCCGAAGAATGCGGCTTTGGTGTTAGCGGGGGTGTTCTTCTGGAGGACGTTGGTAGCCTCCACAGTGGCCAGACGCGACGACACGGCAGACAACTCCAAGGTAGCCATGCTCGCTCGCTCAGAGAACGACAGATACGAAGATCCTAATGAGGGTTTTGTTCAGGGTTTGAGCTTAGAAATGCGTTCCCCGTCTTAGTCGTGACGATGCAAGCCCAAGGTAACTTCACGTATAAACTCGTCACGAGACAAGGGTTGTACGTAACGCAAACTGAGACAAGAAAAAGAGACATGCGAGAGGAGGGGCATGCACCTTTTAGTATTTCCCCTGGGGTTGACGGGGATGTGCTTGTAACGAGTGCGGCTCTTGGGCATGACAAGGGACCTTTTTACAGGATTTAGGTGCGCGCGGCTCCCAGCAAGGCAACCTGAAGCCGACGTGGCAGAAGTGGCCGAATCTGCTTTGAGAAAATTGCCCGGTAACCTAGGAGAGAGGAATGGGCAGGGGCTGCCGGTCCACGTCAGAATGCTTTTGAAAGATACCTGTACGTCATCCAACAGCAGCGCGCGCGCTCACGTGCAGGGTTCCAGCGCGGATAAGCGGAAAATGAATCTTCAGCTTCCCCCGCTGACATTCCGGACCAGCTACAACAGCACAAGCTTTGGTAGACAAAATGGATTTACACATTTTTGGTAGTGATTCATACGAACGAAGTGTTCGGAGCGCTCATTTTCGTTGTTATTGGATTACGCGTATATCAAGGATTCAGCGTTAAACCAGCCTCGGTCACCGAACTTCTTAGATTCTGAATAATGTCTGGGAAAGTTGTTCTTACTCTCTTGTCGAATTCTGCGTATATTAAGGATCTCCTTCGCACAACCCCACCCACAGCATAAGATCCGCACGCCCTCAATGTTCTCTCCTTTTGCGTTCTTTTGTTCTCATCGCTAAACCCCTCAGCAAGCGGTCGGTTCTCCGGCGTCTGTCTCGGGGGAGCGCTCATTCGTCAAATTAAGACAAGTAAGAACGCTAGCGTGATCTTCTAGTAGCATGCAAGCAATCGATCCTGCCAGTGCGATTGGCCATTATGTGATGGACTGCTTAAAGCCCGGCAGCAGATGCCGATCAACGGCCAATATTAGCGCGCGGACCAGCAAAACCATGGTGTCTCTTTTGTCGTTTCGTCCAGGTCAGCAAAGCGAGGCATTATGGCAGGCGTGCCGCCGCCCGTGAAGTCCGCGAAGGCGGGGCTGGAGGAGACCCCCGTGGAGCAGCAGGTGCAGAACATCCGCATCACGCTCAGCTGCATGAACAACGTCAAGAGCCTCGAGAAGGGTCAGTGCCAATGAATTCGTGGATCCATGCTTGCTACCTGATGCGTGCGGCTGTTGGGCGTGCTTGTGTGGGAATTGCGTGAACTTTTCACTCTGGCAGTCCCCTGTTTTTGTCAAGCGTCCGTGTTTCATTGGCTCGTTTTCTTGTCTCGATTATGACTGATTCCGACGTTACAGCGGCTCGGGGTTTGGTCCAGTCCACGGCTTTAGGTGCATAGCGCCAGCGGCGGTGCGGCATGGCCGTGAGCGTGTCAACGTCATGTCAGCGACTGTTTGCAATCTCTGATCTTCTGGTCATTTATCTCATCTTCTCCACGCTTCTCTTTCCATCATCTCTCCGTTCTCTTGTTTCGTTTTCATTTTCCTTCGTTTGCGTCTCGTATCTTCCCCTTTCGCCTTCCTCTGGCTTGTCTCCGCGCAGTGTGCGCGGACCTGGTGCGCGGAGCCAAGGAGAAGCGCCTCAAGGTGAAGGGCCCCGTGCGCATGCCCACCAAGGTGCTCCGCCACACTACGCGCAAGTCGCCCTGCGGCAACGGTGAGTGGAGGGGGAAAGGGGTGATGCGCTGGTTAGAATCAGTGTGAGTCGACTCGAAACGATGGCCCCGTGCGCATGCCATGCTTCGCGACTTCACGCGCAAGTCGCCCTGCGGCCGCGGTGTGTGAGGGGGGTCCAATGCTCTGTTGAGTGGAGGTTTGAGCCTCCAGCGTGTCGATTGTGATCGCACACACTGGTTACCCGTTCCGCCCTTCTCCCCCTCCCCTTCCCCAGGAACGAACACGTGGGACACGTTTGAGCTGCGCGTGCACAAGCGCGTGATCGACCTGGTGATCTGCAATACGCCTTCAACACCTTCCACCCCCCCTCCACACCCCCCCCCCCCCCCCCCCTGTTCTTTCCCATCTCCCGTCTGCCCCCGTGCAGGTACCAACACGTGGGACACGTTTGAGCTGCGCGTACACAAGCGCGTGATTGACCTGGTGAGCCCATCGGAGGTGGTGAAGCAGATCACGTCCATCAGCATCGAGCCGGGGGTTGAGGTCGAGGTCACCGTCACCAGCGCTTGCCCAAGCCCATGCCTGCTGCTGTTATCAGCGCTGGTCGCTGCCAGTAGGGTGCACAGTTGCCCGCACGCCATCATCAGCGCTTAGGCTGCTTCCGCTGCTGGTTGTTGTGTGAGTTGTTGCTGTTAGTGGAGAGACAGGTGGTGATCTTGCTGCTGTACATGCTCTGTAAATGAAATGATCAATGCACAGTCCGGTGCTTGTTCGTCCAAGCACATACTGTATGATTGACCTGGTGAGCCCATCTGAGGTGGTGAGGCAGATCACGTCATCAGCATTGAGCCTGCCTGACGTCCTCACTGCTCACTGCAAAAGGGGGGGGGGGGGGATATGAAAGGGGTGTTGAGAATATGTTTGTATGCTTTTATTATAAGTGCACTGTTCGAAGTGTGCTTACAGGGGCTCGCCATAGCGAGGGATTTGAACCTGGTGGCGAGTCAACGGGGCGCAACCGAGCACAGCGGTTGCGACCCGCGTGGCAGTTCAAGAGTCGAGAATCTGCATGAGCAGCGGAACAGTACGCGGAACAGCCATGCTGGGTGCGGCAGAATACCGCGCCCTTGCCGAAGTTGAACAGTTGCGCCAGCGTGACTGTAACTAGGCAACTGAAGCGTTACAGCGCAACTGAAGCGTTACAGCGCAACTGTTATACAGTTGCGCCTTGGTAACTGCCTGCCTGCTATGTTTGCTATATAACAGAATGTAATGCCTTGCTATTATCACACAATTCCCAAGCTTGTGTCCGGCCTACCCTCGGCCGCTGCTCTGGCACCAAGTTACAAGCCAAGAGAGCTACCTCTGAGTGACCATTGCCCCGCCGTAGGGACGTCGTTAATTCCTAGAGCTTCCGCTGTGCTCTAGCGACTTCTTATTTCCAACAAGGGGAACAAGTCACCAGCAGCGATTACCGGTATTCTCACCAGGGGATGAACAGTCTGCATAGGCTGCACACACGGCACATTGCCAGGGTTAATGGCACCGGCATCAGCGCATTGTCTGTTGCGACTGTAGTTGGGAGACAGGTGGTGGTGAACTTGCTGTTGCATGCACAGATCCCTCGGTAAATATGAAGTTTTTTGAAAGTGTGTGTCAGAATGAGGAATGGATGATGCATTGATGTTGGTTGGGGTACATATAGCTAACCCTAAGTTTTGTACCCCCTAAGACAAACCTCACTATAGGCTACAACATTTGACACACCCCCATAGCCTAAGTGAGGGGTGTCTAGCAGAACCAAACGAGTACGGTCACAAGACCAGTCCAAGAAACGAAGCTCAGGGTGGATCACAACGTCACCACACAGTCTGAGCACAAACAACAGTGGCCACAAGGCCAGTCCAAGAAGTAACAGAGGTATATAGAAAGCAAAGTAAACAGTACACTCAAGCCTAAGCAACACGAGAACCAGTGTCAACAAGGCCTAACTGCACACAGCACCTCTGGTGGTCACAAGGCGGAAGCGCCTTGGTGAAGATGTCTGCAGTGTTGGCCTCGGACTCCACAAACTCAAAGCGAGCCTGTCCACGCCTCTGCAACTCTCGCAGAAGAAAGTACCTGACGTGAATGTGCTTCACTCTGCTCTCCAGTCGTGGCTCTCGACAAAGGAGAATAGACGCCTTGTTGTCAGTGAACAAGGTCGGTGCAGAGCTCGGCCGCTCACCAAGGTCGGTGAGCAAGAAGGTCAACCAACGCAGCTCCTGTGCCGCCATGGCACCAGCGTAGATCTCAGCCTCAGCTGTAGAGGTCGAGACCGAAGAGGAGCGCGTGGACCGCCAGGAAACAGCTCCAGAACCCAGGCTGAAACAGTACCCCTGAGTAGACCTGTGAGTCTCAGCGTCGTCAGCGTAAGAGGAGTCACAGTGACCAGTAAGTACGACAGACTGCTGCCCTCCAAGAACTAGCCCCACGCCTGACGTCGTCGCTAGGTACTTCGCCACCCTCACAGCTGCTGTCCAGTGAACAGGACGGTGTCTCCCTGGCGCAACAAAGCGCGCAAGAACGCTGAGAGGGAAGGCGAGGTCCGGGCGAGTACAAGTCATCAGGTACATGAGGCAACCCACAAGCTCTGCGTAGGGACCACTAGGCTCGAACGGCTCGTCAGGAAAGGGTCCAGTGAGTCTGTGGTCAACAACAAGAGGTGTGCGCTGTACTGTGGAGTGCTGAAGCCCGAACCGCTGAAGGACCTGCTGCACCATGTGCGACTGTGAAAGTGTAATGGTGCGAGCAGCTCTGTCCCTGGTGATCTGCAGGCCAAGGTAGTGGCGCAGCTCACCAAGATCAGTGCAGGTGTGTCTCTTCTGCAGTTCGGACTTCACGTGTGCCAAAGCAACCCTGTCAGGGGTGGCGAAAACAAGGTCGTCAACGTAGACCAGAACAAAGAAAGGTGTGGGGCCACGACGAACGAACAGCGACGGGTCAGCAGAAGACGGCTGGAACCCAAGGTCAGACAGGGTAGAACGCAGGGTGTCGTGCCACTCACGAGGAGCCTGACGAAGACCGTAAACCGGTCGCCTCAGCCTCCACTGGGTCCCAGGAGGGAAAGAGCCAGTGAAGGCAGAGGGACGACGCAACCAGACCTCCTCGTGAAGACTGCCCTGAAGGAAAGCAGTAGAGAAGTCGAGAGAGTGTAACTCGTAGTCTCTCTGTGCTGCTACGTGTAGTAACATCCGAAGAGTGGTCATCTTCGGGGTGGGCGCGAAGGTCTGAAAGAAGTCAACTCCCTCGCGCTGACTGAAACCTCTAGCCACGTAGCGCGCCTTGAAGACCGGAGGAGATCCCGGTGGCCGCTTCACCCTGTAGATCCACATGCCGTCGACTACGTTCGCCCCCGGAGGGGGAACCTCATCGACGTAGGTGCCTGTGGATCTGTAGGAGGCCATCTCTGCGTCCATGGCAGCTCTCCACTGAGAGGCCCAAGGCCCTGACACTGCCTCAGCGTAAGTGCGAGGAGTCGGAATGTCAAGGGCGTCGGGGTCACCCTCAGGGGCGAGGAGCATGGCACAGAGATGAGGGGAAGCGGCCGCCAGGAACTCTAGCTCAAACTGCCTGTCCTCTAGGGCGTCACAGCCAAGGGCAGACACACCCCCGACGGCCAGAGGACTGGAAGGAGGAGCTGCCACAAGAGCGGTGGCGAAGTCAAGGCGGCGGGTAGAGGCAAACTCAGTGACTGCGGCAGTAAGAGCGGACACAGAGGACACAGAGGCACGAGGGTGGGTAACAAGAGAGGCGAGAACACGAGAGAGAACAGGACGGTACGTGCGGTAGTAGTCAGTGACAGGAGAAGGAAGCGACACAGTGAGGGCCGACTCAGGAGGAGACGGAAGCACAGACGGAGACGGACGAGGTGGACGAGAACAAAGGAAGGCTGTACGAAGGTCAGTGAAGGGAACAGGAGACGAGGGACGAGCACGAGGGGAGCGACGAGAGGCCCAAGTCTGAGAAGGAGGAGGAGACAACGAAGACTGAGAACGAGGGAAAACAGCGGGAGAGGGGTCAGGAGGAGGAAGCGGAGGACCAGAGACGGGAGGAGAGGGGGAGGAGGAAGGAGAGGGAGACGGGAGACCAAGGGTCCGAAGACCCGAGACAGGAGGAGGAGACGGCAGCAGCTGCTGCTGCTGCTGCTGCTCCAGCGGCTGCTGCCTCTGCTGCTGCTCCTGCTGCTGCTCCTGCTGCTGTCGCTCCTGCTCCTCGAGCCGCTGCAACTCTCTCTCCTCTCTCTCCAACTCCAGCTGCTCCTCACGAGCACGGCGAACACGAGCCTGGAACCTGGTCGGGTAGGGGTGGGGGGAAGGAGTAGTGTCCGGGGCAGCGGCAGCCCCAGAGTCGACCTCCGAAGCACCAAGCACACCACCCCCAGAGGCAGCACCAACACCAGCTCCAGACCCAGGCTCTCCAGAAACCGAAGGGACACCCTCACCCCCAGACGCAGCACCCCCAGACTCCGCAAGGCGCAGCACCCCCAGACTCCGCACGACCAGTACCAGCCCCCGGAAGACAAGAGTCCTCTGCAACCCGCGGCTCAGCTCCAACTCCAGCACCCCCAGAACCAGAGACCTGTACAGGGACAGTCGCAGGACCAACCTCCCGAGAGGGAGCACCTGCAGGAGGCGGCGAGGAAGACTGTGGGGAGGGAGGCTGTACAGGGGGGGCTACCGAAGGGGGAGGGCTGGCCTGAGACACACCAGACGGGGCTGGACCAGGGGGGGAGGCTGTACCGGGGGAGCAGGCGGGGGAGCGGCGGTCAGGAAGAGAGGGGGGGGAGGGACCGGGAGACCTCGACTGGGGTACCTGACGTAGTAGGGGGTGGACTCCTCGAAACGGACGTCACGGGAGTCAAAGAACCGGTGAGAGGGAGGGTGGTAAAAGGTGAAGTCAGAGGAGTCCTCAGGGAAACCAAGGAAGACACAAGGAACGGCGCGAGGCGAGAGCTTGTCCGCGGAGGTGTCGCGGACAAGAGCCAAGCACCCCCAGACACGAAACCTCGACGCGACACCAGGGGACCCTGTCCAAAGACTGGTCGGTGAAGCCTCCGGCCGAGAGACGCGTGGCCAGAGGTTCAGCTGGTGCGCGGCGTACCTGACTGCGTATGGCCACAGGAAATGGGGGGCACGGGCGTGAGTCAAGGAGGTGCGGGCAATCTCCATGACCAGGCCTATGCGACGCTCAGCAACCCCATTCTGCTGTGGGGACTCCGGAAGCGTCCAGGACTGACGAATGCCCTGTTCGCGACAGAATCCAGCGAGAATGCCGGAGCGAAACTCGCCCCCGCGGTCGGAGTGGAGACAGCTGACACGACGACCACGAGTGTTCTGGGTGGTAAGCAACCACTTGATCAGCGTAGAAGTCACCTCAGACTTCCTCGCCAGGGGGAACACTGTGGTATAGCGGGAGTAGTCGTCAACGACCACCAAAAAGAAACGCTCACGCTCAGGGCCAGGGCAAGGAGAGGGGCCCCAGACGTCCAAGTGCAGCGTCTCAAAAGGCTCGGTGGCCGGACGAAGGGAGGAGGAGTGAGGGGTGGCACGCAGCCTACCCTCGACGCAAGGACCGCACGGTGGTGCAAGGGACGGCGGCAGCGACGGCAAGAC